ACTAGGTGTATTAATAGACACAAAGCATTTTTACATCATCTCTATTCTGAATCTTGTATATGCCGATACGCGTTTTGGGCAAAGGCCCCTTATCTGTCGGCATGACATCCGGGATTTTCTTTGTGTTGTGTTGATACTTATAGGGGAAATACGTACAAAATGACATAGGTAATATAATTCGAATTTGGCGGTCTCAAGCGCGCAACTGACCACGACACCACGTTATCCGAGCGGCTTTTACTAACCTGTCAAAACGTGAACGCACTCCTCTCATTCGCCCGAGTGTCATGGCCGACGACAAGCGTTGATACGTTACGAGTTTTTTTCCTTGCAACAAGTTTTTTGTATAGATGGTAAGTTTTTCATTATTTTATCTATTTATGTAGCATTTATTTCAACCCTTAAGAATTTGTTGTTGCACTTAAATAAGTTTTTTCATTAAAAATATCATCTTTGTATTTATTTTATAATTTTGTTTTTTTTTTATAATGTTATATGGGCAAAACTACATACATAAGCAACGGACATAATGACATACCTATGTCATTCAGTCCATAAGAGCTCAGTCAAGGAGCTTACCTTAACCTCTTAACGTTTTATAAATTATAAAAAAATAACAGCAATAATACAATAATAACGGCAATAATACAGCTGAAATAACAGCACCTACCGAACAACAATCCGATAATTCATCTCAGGTTCCATCAGCAAACACTGAGCAAGAACTTTTTTAACTCATTCAATTCAATATCATTCATCTGCTGCTACTAAAGAACATCCATCCTCCTCTACTCTTGCTATGTCTATTGAGGAGATTTCTCCAGTCCTAAAAGGACGTTTTATAAGTGGTCAAAGAAAACGTAAGCCAAAGACTCGACAAACCTCTTTAATTTTAACTTCTACTCCTAATATGAAGGCAATTAAATCAAAAAAGAGCCCAAAGCTCCGCCAGAGAAAAGAAGACGAAACAATAAAAATTAATTGACGAAGACAGTGAAGAAGAAAATTTTCCTGATGAAGAGGACAGACAGTCCATGCATATATTGCAATGATCTTTTTTCCCGATCTAAGCCTGGAGAAAACTGGTTACGGTGCTTAAATTGTTTGCGTTGGGCTCACGCTTCTTGCGCTGACGTTTCTAAAAGAACCAAGCGTTTCATTTGTGAACTTTGTCAGTAATTCTATAGTTTTTACGTGTATATCATTTTGTCCTTACGTAATGTGTCATTTTGTCTATAGCATATGGAAAAAACGAATTTTGGCTGATCTCAATTAAACCAACAATATTTTTTTTTCTATTATTTTTTAATGTTTATTATATTTCATAGGTAAAGAACCAAAGGTGATTGGTGTAGAATATGACAGTGCTATGATTTACCAATACACAGTTATGAACCTAAAATAAAACCATATGTTATTTTGTACGTATTTCCTCTACATTTCGTTTAAAATTACGTATTTACAGTTAAAATTGTTAAAATATCATTGCAGTTTAAAATATATTTATGATTTAAATTACTATTACAGTGAAGGTTTCATGGTTCGACATCTAGCATCTTCCATCATATACTCTTGGCATCTGTGTTAACAGAATCTTTTTTAATCTCGTTGGACAACGACATTAAAAAAGTAAATACGTAATTCTGTAAATACGTAATTTTAAACGAAATGTGTAAGTATCAATACAACACAAAGAAAATCCTGGATGTCATGCCGACAGATAAGGGGCCTTTGCCCGAAACGCGTGTCGGCATATAGACGATTCAGAATAAAGATGATGTAAAAATGCCTTGTGTCTATTAATACACCTCGTCGTGAAGAAAAAAACAAATAAAAGAATACACGGTCTCGGAATACATAATTTATGAATTATATTATTCTACAACTCCTAGACAAAAATTAGAATATTCACCTGACTGAAAGTTTAGTATAAGCCTACATTTTCTCATGAACAACACAGAGTACAAAGCTTTTTTTTTACCCTACATAAATAATGTCTATGTATATTTATTATACCCATTAATTAGACAAATTAACTCAAACTTTTTTTTTTTTTTTTGTTAAAAATGGAAATCAGTCTAAATTCGGTTAATCCTAGTTGTAAGTTAGGTTAGGGACTCTTAGCTTGGTTTCGGTTAGGTTATGATAGGTTATGTTAAATTAGATTAGGGTTTGTTAGCTTTAGTAGTCTGGTTAGGCTCGTCCTAGGTTATGCTAGGTTAGTTTAGTTAGTGAGTAAGTTAATGTTTAAAAAAAAAATAAAAATAAAATATTTTGGGGTCTTGCTTGTTTGTCTCTATAAGTCCGTTCGTCTCGTCTAGTTTGTCATTGTGTTCGTTTGCTTTTCGCGCTGTCTATCTAGGTGTTAAGTAGTATTAAGATTCGCACTCGCGTTCAGTTTTATTAGTATTAAGTAGATAAAAGTCTTAGCCACTTGGCACTAACTTCTACACTTAGCTATTTGTGGCGGCACTCAATTATTGATGTTCGCTACACTCAGATTTTCTTTTAGACTCTTCGGGGGACTACGGCCTTGCGGCCTAAAAACTGAACGCCAACATCAAACATAGAGGGTACTGTAGCCTTACGTATGCCGTTCAGAGGGATCCTACCTTTCTCTACTGTCTATCTCCTCTCCCTCTTTCTTCCCCTCCCCTTTCCCTTACCCTTTTTTCTGCTGGCTAAACACTTCATGTATGGCCGATATCTTTCTTGTATGTATGTATGTATGTATGTATGTATGCATGTATGTATGTATGTATGTATGTATGCATGCATGTTACAAATGGAAATGAAATTACAAAAAAATAGAATAACAGTTTGACCATGACAAAAAATTAGAATATTAGCAAAATCAGCCAAACAAACAGCCATAAAAAACTAAATTGTAATGNGTTCAGAGGGATCCTACCTTTCTCTACTGTCTATCTCCTCTCCCTCCTTCTTTCCCCCTTTCCCTCACCCTCTTTTCTGCCGGCTAAACACTTCGTGTACGGCCGATATCTTTCTTGTATGTATGTATGTATGTATGTATGTATGCATGCATGTTACAAATGGAAATGAAATTACAAAAAAATAGAATAACAGTTTGACCATGACAAAAAATTAGAATATTAGCAAAATCAGCCAAACAAACAGCCATAAAAAACTAAATTGTAATGCAAATTTCCATATTGCTGGGTAGAGCAGTATAACAGTACAACATGAGGCGTAAGTGCGATATCAGTGACAGAACTAAAGCTATTATCATAGCCTTGTACAAAGTAGGAAGAACACAAAAAGAATTGAGAATTTTGTAAAATGCTCGCAGCAAACAGTCTCTAGAGTACTAAAACAACAAAATCGTGTTCAAGTTTTAATTAACTAATAAACGCCAGAAATGTGGATGTAAACGAGCAACGACTGCGAGTGATGAGAGAAACTTGACGAAACCGCTTTAAGAGCGTTAAACACTTGAATGCACAATGGAGAGCAACTGGAGTGAACGTTAGTAGCCGAATCACATGCCGAAGGTTGCACGACTTGCACTCTTCAACTTCCGTGTTCTCAAAACGAAGCCATCTCTAACGAAAAAGCAACGACAAGCGAGTGTCAGATGGTGCAGAGAGAGGCTCGTGTGGAACAAGACGACTGAAATAATGTTCTCTTCAGTGACAAATCCCTGTTTTGTCTCTCCTGTGGTGACTAAAGCCCAATGTTCTCTTTGGAGAACAACCAAAGAGGCCTTCGAAAAAGGACTGTATGAAGAGATCTGTGAAGTTTGCATCATCTGTCATGATCTGGAGATGCATGAGTGCTAACGGCGTAGGACAACTGTACATTCTTCGGAAACGTGTCAATGCACAAACATATCAAGACATCTTAGAGACATTTATGATACCATCTGCAGAGGATTTAATTGAGAAAACGTTTCTATTTCAACGAGACAGAGCATCCTCTCATACCGCGAAGTCAACGATACGTTGGTTACAAGAACGACAGGTTGCAATCCTGCCTTGGCCAAGCAATTCCCCAGACTTAAACCCATTGAAATTTTGTGGTGAGTCATGAAACGACGACTTAATGAACGGTTATCAAAATCTAAAGAGGAACTAGTGATGTGCATTCGACACATTTGGAACTGCATCACTAGAAACGAATGCGAAGCATTAATCTGCACCATTCCCGACAGATTGCGAGCACTAATTACGGCAAACAGCGACGCCACAAAATATTAAGTTTATTTTGTTGTATATCCTATATTTAACCCATATTTAGCTAATATTCTAACTTTTTGTCATGGCCAAACTGTTATTCTATTTTTTTGTCATTTCATTTCCATTTGTAACAAAAAAAGGTTTGAGTTAATTTGTCTGATTAATGTGTATAATAAATATACATAGACATTTAAAAATTGAATTTTGACTATTTACAAAAAATTTTTTTAATTTTTCGAGTCTATCTTTCATCCTTTTAACACACCACAGAAGTAACAGTATATTGGCTTTTACAGATATTATCTTTAGCTGTTTTTGTCTATCTGTGTGTGTGTTTCGTTATAATTTATCACGTGTTCTGTGGAAGTTCATCCAAGCCAATATACTGTTACTTCTGTGGTGTGTTAAAAGGATGAAAGATAGACTCGAAAAATTAAAAAAATTTTTTGTAAATAGTCAAAATTCAATTTTTAATTGAAAATATCCTGGGTTGCTCATGTTATCATGTATGCTGTTATACATAGACATTGTTTGTGTAGGGTAAAAAGAACGTTTCGTACTCTGTATTGTTTATGAGAAAATGTACACTAAACTCAGTTACGTGAATATTCTAATTTTTTATCTGGGAGTTGTAGATAAATCATTGATTTGGAATAATGCAATTCGCACAATTAATTGGTTTTAAAACGATCCTTTGACGATATAGGCCTGTATATTAATTCTAAAATATTTGAAATTTTTAAAAATATAAAACACATACAAATTATAAAAAATGATATAAAATATAATTATTTAAAAAATAACCTGTAAACGGATCTCCCGGATCTAAACAACATCTCCAAGGATTGCGGAAGCCATAAGCATAGATTTCTTCCTTGGCGTGTTTTGCATTTAAGAATGGATTATCGCGAGGAATGCAATATTTTTTAGATATACTAATACAAGATACATTAATTCGAAGAATTTTTCCTAACAAGGAATTTCTGAAAAGTATAAGAAAATAATAATTATATAAATTAACATTGTTTCCGTTTCTTTGTATTCTTTAAAGTAAATTAATAATAATTATTTTAACTTAATAAACGATAAAATGCTTATTATTTATACTTATTAAATCTTTTATTGGCCAAATCTCCTCCATCTCCAGTTGCAATATACAGATAGCCATCCTTTCCAAATAAAATTTGACCGCCATTTTGTCTCCGTCCGGGTTGCTCTATTTCTAAGATCTTCTCTTCGCTGTTTTTGTCTATCTGTAAAAATAAGTCACAAAGAAACTTATTTTACAGATTTGTAGTTGTAGTTACTATAATAAAAATTGTTAGATTTATAATTCCATGAACTGTTACGGCATGAACTTTCCGATAATATCAGGTTGTAAAGGTAAAATTTAGGCATTTCGATTGTTTTTCTAGAAACGACTAGAAAAAATGTTCTAGAACGTTCGATGTGGGTATATCGGCGCTTCATCACATATTTTATTGGAATTAGACTCATCAACCATGTCTGACAATGTGAAATTCAAATCAATATCAATTAAAAATCAATATGTTTGGTTAAAGGTGATCTGTGTTTTTTAAGTGTTTTATAGGTGTCGGTCCCGTTCCTCAACATCTATCCAATTGTGGATCTGATCGAATCCACGTGGATATAATTAAAAAGATGCTTTTAGTGCCCACAGGGCGAAAAGAGAGAGAAAAATATAAATTGTTTTTATAACTTTTTTCAAATTTTGTACCTGTAATATTTCTTACATTTGCAGAATTTTATATTCATCCAAGAACGAAGTTCTCCTAATTTAAGCGCAGCAACGGCTTACAAACTTGCGTTAAATCATTAAGTTAACGCTAAATTAAAATGACTTGTCACTCTGAGTAAGCAGTGAATTCTTATCTTTGTTCCAGAACGTCTTTAACTTACACAATAAACGTTGTGCAAGGTATAATACGTAAACGTATTGAGGTTAGGTTATATATGGCCAATTTTTCAAGCAAAATGGAAAAGGAAGATCTATATTTAAAAATGAATTTTTGGCAAGAGCATCATATTTCGAATGTCGGAAGCGCGCGCTTTTTTGTTCAATGGGTGCGTTATAGCTTAATGTGGCCTTGGCAAATTTGAATTAGGAGCGCCATGTACTGTACAGTGTTGACTTCAGACATTTTTATTTGATGGAATTTTTGAGGGAAATTCCCGATATCCTCTTAGGTTCAATACTACTCATGCAAAAAAGTAAAGAACAATTTTAGATAAAATTTTATTAAAAACGAAACAAAATTAGACCTAAATGTAATCCACAACAAAAATTCATAAATAATACACTTAATTGAATTATTATCCAAGTCTACTTTTATTGCACCAAATAATAATCTAGATTAATTAAACAAGAATTAGAATAATATGTCCTTATAAACTATAGTCATTTAATACAACGAAGAAGAAAAAACTTTTTATAAATTCAAAAAAATTATAAAAACATAACAAATTTTATCTTCACTTTTCGTTCTTTTTGAGCTGAGAGATTGTCAATCAGTTCATTGTAATTAACCCTGTTTGAAATGGCATTCTCATGTCATTTGTTTAATATTGCCAAATTACATAATTTTTCTTGTCTTTAATTGAATTTCTAAATTTTTAATTATTTTAAAAATTGGAAACAGGAATTGACAAATATATTTTTAAAATTATGTCCATATTAGGAAAGTCCTCCTTGAATATCTGTACATCAATAATAAGAATTTAAATTTGCTTTTTTAAATTGTATAAACTATGCTAATTCTTTGTTTAATTAAAAAATTAAGCAAGGAGTAGCTTTACTTTTCCGGTAACGTTTTGTGGCGCCAATATTTTAAAAACTTTTTATATTTATAACTGTTATAAAATGGCAAAAAACTTAATTTTGTGGGTAGGGATGGGTTTTATAAAAATAAAAAATAAAAATAAAACTGTAAATGCTAATAACGTGTAAAATCGTCATTAAGTCTGATCCTATTGTTTACGCGTTTACAATGCAAAATTTTCCCATTGACTATTTTCCTATTATCATAGGTAGGACCTTTGATCCTTAGTGTATTCCCGTCACGACACGCCATTTTATTAGTTAAATTAATATGCACAGTTTTGTTAAACGGTCAAGTCATCACTAGGTAAAACGTGTTTCAGCGATTTGCCAATTTGAGTCACTTGCTCAGTTCTCTCGCTGCGCTTATTATATGAATACCGTTAATAAACAAATCGGTGATGAGTACCGTTAATAAATGAAACACCATGACACTTTCACGATTGTGTTTCGTTATATTTTTCCGGATCCTGAGAGAGTTGACGAACGAGACAAATATTGCTTACACATCTAGAACCGATCTTACATTCAAGACTGGATTTATGAGCAGCAACCGATTTATAATGGGAGATTCTATATGACCAGCTGAATTTTATTCATTACTTACATGAAGTCTTTCAACATAAATAAAAACTAAGCATTTAGGACTAAGTGATAATGAAAAGGCAGAAAGGTGTTTCCCCCGTTTTTGGTTCATTTCGCTTTAAGGGCACTTAGGCCTTTCTTCTGTACTCATTATGGCTTCGGCCAGGCCTACAATGGGGCGGCCGGGTGGTGAGGGACGGGGCCTGACATATCCGTGACTTACTGTCATGAAAAATGGTTGCCCGCTAGGATTCGTTCTCAGGTACGTAGTCCGGTAGACATACAGTCGACCCCCCCCCATAACACTGTTGATTGACTGTACTTGAACTGCGTTGGCCTCTGGCCATCAAAGCAGAAAGATTTGGATCAGATGCTAATCCGGATTTCACATACCGAAGGAAGCATCTACTATTTTTCAAAATAACTAATAGAATGGTAAATTTTGAGCAATATAATTCTGTAGTGACGAATAATAATTATTGTTTACACTAATAATTATTAAAAAATTCTAGTAATAATTTTAGAAACTATTGTAATTTTGAAAATATAATTATCTTACAATTAGTATGGTATCTTTAATAATAATAAAAAAAATCAGATATTCTTTCAAGACCATTTAAACAATTTAGTCTATGCTTATAGCAAGTTTTTTGCTTTCATTCTTCTTCATTCTTTTCATTATTCCCTACCATTTCTTCAGAGTCAATTGTTTTTAAATTATTTAAATCCACTTTTTTCAATAAGGGTGATAAGTAGTTTATTTCAGAATCGAAATCTGATGGTTGATAGAAATTGTCAAAATCTTCTACAATAGCCAATAAATCGGCTACTAATTTTTCCAAAACTGCCAAATTCTTGTAGGCGGATCTGAAATCTTTAAACGATTCGTTGACGTAATTGTTTATTTTCAGCGCGGATTCGGTTGCCAGATCAATATTCACGTTTATTATATTGACAAAAATGAATTCTTGCGATCTTACCGCCTTCATCAAAAATCGATTATTTTTTATGTCCACATATCTGAAAACATATTTTTCCGGATTTGAGTTCCAATTTGTGGGAAGTAGTTCGGATTTTTCTTCTACCACCTCGGAAGGCCAAATCTCTCCAGCTCCGACGCACAGTTTTCCCATTCGGATCATGGCTAGATGTACAGGCACTATAATGGCGTCCACTTCGCTAGAAATCTCATCTTTAACCAAACAGAAGATGGATTCCAGGAATAACATTGTAAAAGAATAGTCTTGAAAACTGATTGTTCTGATTTTTCAGATAACAATAAATTCGTTTTCATTTATTGATCAATATCATTGTTAATCAATATTTCGTAAGCGTTTAAATACAGTATAATGTTCACATTTAGTCTATTTTTGATATTATAGTAATTTGATAACTCTCAAAATATCTTTAAAAAACTTTATGAATTTAAAACTATATGAAAAATGTCTATTAAAATTATGTTATATATCTTGTGGAACCATACATATACAGTGGTATCTCGTACTTCGAACGTTCCGGAGTTTGAACGTTTAATTCGACAGAAATTCGCTCCGGAGTTTCTAAGTTCAAACTTCGCGCGTATAAAAAAAATGTGCTCGATGCGCCCAAGTCGTTTCTCGCTATCGCGTTATGCTCATGTGTTTTTTTTTCACTTTGGTTCTGGTGTGTTTAGTTATATACATTGTATGATATTCGTCGATTTTTTTAAACAGTTACTTCCTGCAGTTTTCTTTGTCGATAGCTTTTGGGCGCCTCGGACGTTTGTATCTATCAGTTCAAAATTTTCTAAACAGAACTTTTTAAACCATATTTGACATGGCATGTTCGAACATTAGGAACATCTTCCCCAAACTTATTATGAACTTTTTTACTGTTTGTATGGCGCTGTATCCTTTCCGAAATTCATAAAGCATAGGTTAATATACCCGACATGCGTTTCATCTGAAGACATTTCAACTTGATTTTATTAAAACAAAATGTGAAATATAAAGTTTAAGATAAGCTTCTAAACAAAGATTACAATCTCACATTAACAATAATGTGTTAAATTACACATCTGTTTTAATTAAATCACACATCTATGTTATGTATCGTTAAGTATCTGTTAAAAATATCCAAAAACTTTTTGTTCAACCCAATGTAACCTTTACTTGTTAACCATGTCATCCGAGAAGTGTGTGTGAAGCAACAAAGTCTAAGAGGAAGTTTATAATATCGACGATTCGACTGAAAAGAAAAAGGAACTTATTACGAGTCATAAAAGCGACACACCTGTGGCGGATCTTGCTGCCATGTTTAAGATGAAAACGTCGACAAAGTGCAATCAGTAAATGCAATTTTCTTTTTATTATACTGTATTTACGTATTTTATTTATTGTTTTCGTGTTTTAATTTATTATTAGAGTATTTAATTGTGTTACTTTTACGAAGTTAGAAAGATGACCGACATGACTGTCTAACTTCGTAAAAAAATTACCTCGACTGTTATCAAAGAAGTGTGATCTATAGGGGCAAGACACCGCTAAAATGCAGACCAGATATGGAAAGTTTAGGGGACGGAGACCCTGATTAACTATTACAGATATCACGTAACATTTTAAAATTATAAGATGATTAAAACTTGCAGCCCGGAATTATGACGATGTCACAATAAATAATTGCTCGTTTACTCATTTATTTATATGTGTGTTCATCCATTATTTAAAAGTTGTTGACTTTATTTATTATGTTTTACTGTCTAATGATATGTTATTCCATATTTCGTATTTTAAATACATTTAAATGTAAAATTCGATATTTCCTTTTACGAATGTTCTATTTGCAACGGTTTATAGTTTGTATTCTGGACTTAAGCATGGCCTGTAGAACAGGTCGAAAACGTTTGTGAATATATAATAAACATTTTCTCAGCAAGTAAGGAGTTTGAGTGTTAACTTCTGCTGTACAGTGTAATGTTAACGTAATGAAACTAGTAATACGAATCTCAATATTGCTTTTGTTTCTGACCTCCGAATCGACGTCCGGATGATGGAGCTGCTAAGGCAGCAGCCTACCGGTCTGGGAGACCAGGGATCGAATCCTGACGGGTTTTTCGAGGAACATTTTGGGTGTTGGTCCCTCAGGATAAGCCCGTCCGTCATCACCTGATTACTCCATTGTGGGCCTAGCCGAACTCATAATGGGCTTACAAAAAAATCCGGCCCTCTTAGTCCCCAGAGGACGGAGAGAGTTTAAAAAATATCTAAGAATTTAAAAATCTGGCAGACTGAATTTGAAGGCATATTAATATAAATGTTCATTAAAATGAAGAAAATTTAAATATAATGCGTTTAGAAATCAAATATGCTATCAGCTGCATGAGAAATAATAGCTGTACAGAATATATGTGTTACAGTCAAAACCCGTTTTTAGTTAGAAAGCGTTTTAACTAGTTGAAACTAGTTTATACTGAATGTCTTTGTTAAAACCCATTTTGTCTAGTTGAAACTAGTTTATACTGAATGTCTTTGTTAAAACCCATTTTGTCTAGTTNTATTTTTAATGTTATATTACGAAAATGTACTTTAGGATATCACAATTTAATTTATGTCAATAAATTAAAATTAATTACATACTATAAAAATATTTCCTGCGTTATATAACTGTGTTATTTTAAAAGAAAAATAACAAAAGTATTTTATAGCGAACTAAAGACACCGAGATTTAGATCCTTTGTGAAGTATCCAGGTGTAAATGACTTAAATTATCACCAGTGAACAACATAAACTTCCCAACTATTGTCAAAGAATGACAGTAATTGCATTAAATGTGCCATCGAACAGCATTATATAAAAATTTATAACATTCATTATATAGAATAGACCTTATTTTTCACCTGAGAAAAGTTCTGTTCTTTATGTCAGCTGAAAACTAGTTCAGATTAAGAATATAAAAACGAAGAAAACCTAATAAATTTATAAATTATTCACTTTTTGAATGTATATAATTATAGTATCTATTGTAAATTGTAAAATAAAACAAAACATGACCTTTAAAGTTTTCTATACTTTACATTTAGTAGTCTACATTACAGGAAAAAAAAAAAAACAACAAAAAGATCAGTTCTTCAATGATCGGATGTCGTGAACAAACGTTGATATACATATATATAATAACGTTTAAACTATTAACGCAGCTTTTATATCAAACGTTTACAATGTAGTCACGAACAGTTGATTAATGTGACATATGTCACGCTAATAGTAACTAAATGTATCGGTAACATTAGACAGAAGTAGCTTTACTTAAAAAATTAAATAAATTTAAAAATTTTTCAAATATATTTGTTTTATTATACATGTATATTATAAAATCGATTGGCGTATTTTAGTTAAAGAATATTTATGTTACGCCAATTAAATAATTATCAATTTTTTATTGTTATTAAACATATTGTAATTGTCAATTAAATGTAACATTAATAATATTTAATTTATTTTTATCACAATCATATTTATTATTCAAGCGAGAAAAGTTTTATTTTATTTCGTTTGTGTGTAAATTCGATGAAAATATTCTCAATCCTATTTCATATTTTACTTGTCATTCGTTCGAATAGCGATCTAATTTATTAAAAGTTGCTCTTTACTTGGATTATATATTTCTTTTTACCCGCTTTGTTCACTAAAGATTTTTTCTTTGTCACAACACAAGCAGATTATCGATAAACATATTTCGAATAAAGATAAGCCTTTCAGAAAAGTGAAGTACTCTTTTAACTATAAACACTACATTTTCATCACTTTATCCTCTTTATTTATTATTCATAAGAATTCCGGAAGAGTTTTTTTGGCTTACACATTATCTTCATATTAAATTAAAATTAAATTTCGATTATAAATAACTATTTTTCCATTAAACTCCTCTCGAAATATTTAATTAGATTTATTAAATAATGTAAACTACTTTTTCTGATATGAATTTTTCTTTAAAAAGATTAGGAAATTTAATTAATATACATACATTTAGCTAAATCCGATAATTACAAACTTTTTAATTATAACGAGGAGTACATATCAAGCAATAAAAGGAATAGTTTATACAAGAATGAATAGAGTAATATTATTTATTTTTTCATATAAACTGCTTATAAGTAAACTAAATATTAAATTAATAATTATTTCGAGTCGGGAAAAAGTAATAAATCTGATCATTTTGTTTTTTTTTTATCTGTAATTTATGTGACATTTTCGTAACTTTCGTTATAAAAATGTAAAATAACTCGTAAAAATCATAATCAGAAAATTTAATATATTTATTTTTCAAAATTTAACTTTTTATTCTTTTACCGTCTTTATTTTAATTGTACTTTTTGTTCATCCTTTCGATGCTTGAACGTTGAGAGCTCTTTATCATTTTACCATGCTCTGTTTTATTTTCTTATCTTAAGAGATTTTTAAAGATAAAATAAGTGTGTGTTAAATCATTAACAATTTTTTTTTTTTTTTAGATTAACTGTTTACTTAGAAGTTATTACTAAGTAAACAGTTAATCTAAAAAAATCAGCTGTTAGTTTCTAATAAATGATTATCTGTGAATATATATTATTCACTTATTAATTTATACAATACAGTAATAATAATAACAATAGTAAAACTCTCCCAAGGTATTTTAAGGCGTCTATTGAAAATCTATAAGGTATATAGTCAATTGTTCTTGTAGGCCTAATCATCTCTTCCACGGTATATGACGTGGTATAACATCTGTGTGGGATATATATTGTTACCTTCTACAAGGAGATTATTCTCAGGAGTTTTCATGGGATATATCGGGCACCGTCTCTCACCATTCGATCGCCCCATTGTGGGCCTGGCTAAACCCACGATGGGTATGGAAAATAGGCGCTCTTAGTGCCCACAGGGCGGAAAGAGATCAAAATAAAAAAAGTATATAGAAAGCAACAATACCAAATACATATCACATAGAAACTTTTTATATATAAACATATACCAACAGCGTATAGACGTAATAAAATAGTTGTTGGTCTGACGTAACACTTTTCACCTGATCAATGGAATATCATATTTATATAATTACAATAATAATAATTGATATTTTTACATGCACATATATAAATTTGCTAATGTTATACTCAAGAATATACAGTAGTTGCGAAAATATTAACATAGTTTGTGCTCAAATTGACACTTTATATGAATAAAATCATTAATTTCATATAGCTTACGGATGCTTCGTAAAGATTTAAGCAGACATTTTTAATAGATTTTAAGCATACATTATGGTTTTACGTAGAATATATTTAGTAAAATTCATGTTAGTAATGTTTACAGATGTAAATTTAGATGAGTTGTTATGTTAAAAACTCATAAAAATGATTTTTAATGCTGTAAAATTTCTAACTTGTTTTTTCATTCATTGCCTCGTACTATTTTAAAATTACTAAATTAAAAGGCTAATTAATTTTTTGAAAAATATAAATCACAAAAAATTTTCAACAAAACAAAAACATTTAAAAGAAAAGAAAGCAGAAGAAATAATTACAAACCTTTTCTTGATCGTCGAAATATAATTTAAATTTTGAAATAATAGTTTTATGGTCCATAGAACGATCGGAAGTCTCGGCGCTATAGCAAGTATATATAAATCCATTATTAATAAAATGTGGATCTAAAGCAAAACTAAGCAGCCCTCTTTCTTCTCCCGGTGCAGAACTAGTCAGTACACGATCCGTAATATTGAGAAATATATTCTTTTCTTCAGAAATATTTTCTTCGCCCTTCTCCTCGATTAGACGAATTATTCCTGCATGTTCGCCTATCAATAATCTTTTACCGAGCGGCCAAGGAATTACTGTAGTCGGATGTTTTACATTAGAAATTACTTTTTTTAAGCAAAGGCGATTATTATTAATATCATCGCTAAGAATAATTTTACAGAATATTATTAAGATTAAAATTAACGAATATTTATACGAAAACATATTTTAATAATAAATTTTAGTTGTTGATATTTCCTTTTTTTTTTCTTTTTTTGTAATTTTTCCTCTTTATATAAGTTTCCGAGATGTCGCTACGAACGTAGAATGTCACGTGAGTAGAATAGCAAATACGTGTTTACTTTTCAGTTCGTAATCGTCCAATCAGAGAAGTGGTTTTTAGCCAACGGCAAATTTGAAATTTATACGGTAACGTGTTGTTATTCGTAGAGATTTATGTGATTTTTTTTGGGTATTTTTATTAGTTAAAGGTAAGAGAAGTAATTTTTGTGGAAGTTTAAGTTAATTTGAAACGTGGATATGAATATATAAAGTTCGGTTGATCGATTTTAAATGTAAATTTAAATAAAAGATTAAGTTAAGCCATATTTAAATTATATGTATTCTTGATTACAATGATTTGAATATATTTTTATTGTGTAGCTATTTAGTTATATGTTTATGCTATTCTATATGCTTAGATTTCAATAATAATAAACTTTTGAAATCTTAATACTCTAATATATTCACATATATTCACACATATATGTGAGATCTAATCCTTTGTTCTTGTGTATTTTTATCATTTTGTCTCACTCTACAATCTTTTAAGTTAGCAGAATTTCAATTGTATAAACAGTATGGTATTTGGAAAAGTGAAGAATTCATGCTCCTAATGAGACAGTTCGGACCTTGACAGAGCTGTAGATCATATTGATAGGAAGTGAAAAGTTTCAGAGATATTGCAATTTAAAGTTTGTATATGCTATATGGCTGTAGCAGATGATGATGAGCCATTGAACACTGTACATTTCTAAATTTGACAGTTATATCATCGGTAAGTTCTTTGTTGGATGATCTGATGTCACGTTTTATAGAAAAAAGAAATGTTTTCGTTGAGAGGGTGATTTTTTGATGGCCGACTTAAGAAATAATGAGAAGGCAGCAGTTGTGGCTGTTTTGCTAAATAACTTTTTAATCGAATGAACCCTTACCTGTATCATTTTATTCTATATTGGGTCTTCAATAATTTGAGTTTCTTGAATATATAGGCCTATATCATCAGGAAGATGTAAAGAGGGCCAAATATCAGTTTTAATCAAATTTTGAATAAATTCATGAAGATAGTTTGTCTCTGAGAAAAAGCTTAATATTTCAATATTGGCCAAATTATCCAATATAATTGTGCAGTTACATGTTTTATTAATTTGTTGTTCCTTAATCTGTTTGCTATTACAGCAACCACAGCAAGAGTGAATTGATAGTTTCTATAAGAGAAATGTACTTGTTTTATGGAAGCTGCCATGTTAATCTGTTGAATATTCATCAGTCTTTCTGGTAGTTGAGACTGTTGAGCTCAGTGGTGAATCATTGCTGACATTACAGGCTTCAATGGACAACTCAATGGTCTATTTAGAAACATTGTTTTCTCANTTGTTAGAAATCAATATGATCTTAACTTTATCTGAAATTTAATTTATTTTAAAATAATTTTGAAGAAAGTTGAAAATTTTATTTATGAAATAATAATATATTTCAAAATAAAATTATAATGTATAAGTTTAGATAAATTTAATTTTTATTAATTATTTATTTATTTGTTTACTAGGTATCAGAAACAAAATATATCTAAAGTTTCTCAGAAAAAAGTACAGATTTCTAAGTGTGTTGATAAGCCATTAAAAGAAATTGGTAATGAAAAAAAGATTGAGGAAAATGATAAAACTCGAAAAAGAAAATTTTCTACTACTGCAGATACAAAACAAGATAACAAAGATGATAAAGAAAATACTCTCTCGGATACAGAAAGCAGTACTGCTTTGTTTGATAGTCCTGTTCCACGTAAACTACGCTGTAGAGATTCTTTTACTATTTGTGAAGGCCCTTCACCAATGATACTGAAAACTAATCAAAGAGAGCTATCAGGAGAATCAATCATACAGTCTAACAAAACCAATTTATCAACTTCTGCATGTAATCATTCAGGAAGAAAACGCAGACGATCAAGTACAGTTTTAACTACAACAGAAAATGAAATTGTTGATAAAAAACAAAAATTACTTAATGACACTCCAGAAACTGTTATTGAGAATAAAACTGATCAAAAACCAGAAGATTTAGCAGAAACATGCAATCAGAAAAATGATTCATCTAAACAAAACAAACCACCAAAACCTGGTAGTGGAGCTGCTACAATGGTTAAAGCATTAAATGATGACCAGAATGAAACAGAAAAAATAATTTCTGCTGAAGGAGAATTAAGCAGAAAGTAAGTAAAGAAGAAATTATTGTAGCATACAAAAATTATTAAAATAATTTAATTTTTAATTTAACTAAACATTTAGTATATAATTATATGTACTTGTTTTATGGAAGCTGCCATGTTAATCTGTTGAATATTCATCAGTCTTTCTGGTAGTTGAGACTGTTGAGCTCAGTGGTGAATCATTGCTGACATTACAGGCTTCAATGGACAACTCAATGGTCTATTTAGAAACATTGTTTTCTCACCATTGAGCCACTCGTTGAATATAGAAATGTACCTTCTGCGGTACTTGCACCAATTAGTCAGTAGCACAAATCTTGCAGCAACCAACCAACAAATTGCAATAGTTGACTAACAAACAGAATTTCAAAGATTGGAAATACATTGATAAAATATGCTGAGTAATTATTTAACAGCATTGGTAGTGGAAAATAAACTTCAAATTGATTTTTTTAGGAGTGACCAAATCTTATCATGATAGGAGCCACATATTACGTATTGGAAATATGTGAAAGCCACATTCCCTATTGAAATGTTATACATAATTATATACCATTAATTAAATGTATAGATAATTAAAATACTATAGTTATCACTGTTATTAGGTTGCAGTTTGAAAGATTTTAGACCTATAAATTTCCGCTGTTGTCTGCCTGTCTTTCCTTAATCTTGAGAACAGAGTTATATAGATAAAAGATGAGACCAGATATGAAAACTTTAGGAGCAGGAGGCCCCAATTAACTATATACGAACTTCCAATGCAAACCAAAAGTTGTTATTTCAATTCAAAAATTTTCCCTGAAAGATGTTAGATAAATGAACAGCATGACTATTGTTTAAAGGAAAAATATAATGTACAAAGGCAAGCTACTACTAATTTGAGGTGGAAAGCATATATTTTAAATTAAATCAATGAAAAATATGATTAAAAATTGCATTCCGACATTGTGATGTTATAATAAATAATTGCTCATGTTAGTTCAAGAATATGAATGTTTGAGTATGCACCACTGGCCACTCGGCCAAGCACATGTACCAAGTGTCCGAACCTGCGGTTCCTCTTGTACGACTTAGCGTTGCCGCGGCTAGGGGGGATTCTGACTTAGAGGCGTTCAGTCATAATCCCACGGATGGTAGCTTCGCTGAATGTTTGAGTAGGTATATAAGAAAGGCTATCTAAAAAAACTTTGAGAAAATAAGAAATTAATTTATAATAATCTTTTCATTATATCTAAATATATATCAATGTTTATTCTTCATTACTAGTAAAAGATTTGAGGATTTTTAGTTGAGACACACTGTTTAAATTCAGTTCATACAAATGCATCATTTCAATTGCTGTTCAAGTTGTCAGTTACACTTAAAATCCATATGTAGTACAGGTACATAGGTTGTTCAGAAAGTTTTGTCCTACATGTTTTCTGTTGATCATAGCAAAATGAGAGTTTTACCAATCAAAACAGCATGAAAAATGGTCAGAATAAAGTTTCAATCAAGTTCCTGTTGTCAGTCTGGTACTTTCCCAGCAAGCAGTGCAAAAATACCAGAAAATAGCAGTGTGGATGAAAACTGAATATCAGACAATTATCCATTATAGCTTTTTACATAATCTCAGTAAAGATGAGTATTTTTCAGAAATGTCTTCTGTTTTGAGGGAAATTGTCCTTCCTTGAAGACCATTACACAATGATATACACAATTTAAAAGCAGTGATTTTAGTGTGGAGGTTGATGCATGCTCAGGCAGGCCAGAAAAAGCAGTGACATCAGAAAATACAAGGTCTGTTCAAAAAGTATCGGACCTTTTTTTCCCCGCGTAAACCAATGATGCGCGAGAGGCCTCCTTCGGTGGAGTTGTGGAGGGGACAGTCATGCACAGCCCTGAATTTTTTCCCGCCTGCAGGAAGTGTCAGTCGTTGGCAATTGGCCTATAAGTGAGGTCATGTAGTGCGCTCTCGTCGGATTCCACTAAGCTGGAAAATGACTGAATAACGTGAGCAGCAATATTATATCAAATTTTGCCAAAAACCTTGGCGATACCCAAGCATAAACCATTCGCAAGATTCAGCAGGCTTTCGGGGATGTTCCTCGAGGCCAAAAAAAGTGCTGCAACACTGTACATTTCTAAATTTGACAGTTATATCATCGGTAAGTTCTTTGTTGGATGATCTGATGTCACGTTTTATAGAAAAAAGAAATGTTTTCGTTGAGAGGGTGATTTTTTGATGGCCGACTTAAGAAATAATGAGAAGGCAGCAGTTGTGGCTGTTTTGCTAAATAACTTTTTAATCGAATGAACCCTTACCTGTATCATTTTATTCTATATTGGGTCTTCAATAATTTGAGTTTCTTGAATATATAGGCCTATATCATCAGGAAGATGTAAAGAGGGCCAAATATCAGTTTTAATCAAATTTTGAATAAATTCATGAAGATAGTTTGTCTCTGAGAAAAAGCTTAATATTTCAATATTGGCCAAATTATCCAATATAATTGTGCAGTTACATGTTTTATTAATTTGTTGTTCCTTAATCTGTTTGCTATTACAGCAACCACAGCAAGAGTGAATTGATAGTTTCTATAAGAGAAANATCAAAATCAATAAATTTATTTTTGTCGACAAAAGGTCCGATACTTTTTGAACACACCTCGTATAGCTACTGTAGAGAAACTTCTCAGTGAAAACAGGCAAATCACCTACCAGCAGATTCAGGAACCATTGAATATTAATGCATCAACTGTTCGTGACATTCTGTCCAACCAGAAGAAAGAAGTTTGTGAAGTTTGCTTTGGGTGCCCCATTCACTGATGGAGGAGCAGAAAAACAACATGGTAGAATGGTGTTAAAAAATGATTAAACAGTTTGAATCAAGGATGTTAGCAACATTATAATGGGTGCTGAGACCTGGCTGTATTATTATGATGTGCCAACAAAATTTCAGAGCAAAGTTTGGTTCTTTGAAGATAAAGCAACTCCAGTAGAAGTCCAAAAATTGCATTCAACAAAGAAATGAATGATTGCTGCATTCTTTGCAAAACACAGTATTGTGGAGAGGGTTGTACTAGAAAAACAGCATACAGTCACTAGTTTCTGGTACACCCAAACATGTTTGCCAAAAGTCGTTCAATAATTGAGGAACATTTGACCATGATTCCAGCTCAACACATGGCTCCTGTACCATGATAATGCTCCGTAGCACAGATTAAAAAGATACAATCACCTATTTGATCAAGTCTGGACTTACTGTTTTGGATTATCCTCTGTACATTCCAGGTACCGTGACTTTGGCTTATTTCAAAAAATCAGAAAATGTCTCAAAGGAAGGCATTTTTCAGCAATGATGAGCTTCTGGCAGTGGGATCAAGAGTATGCTGATCTCCCAGAAGAAAAGTGGAAGGCCTGGTTTGATGACTGGTTTTGGCATATGACAAGATGCATTGAGTGTCGTGGAGAGTATTTTGAAAAACTGAAAAGTAAACCTGGAGGACAAAACTTTCTGAGTGACCCGTGTATATAATAGCAAACTTACAAAACTAATACATATGTGCAAATACAGGTACCCTCATATAACATGGTAGTTATGTTCTGAAAAAGTGTTGTGTTATGCAAATCCATGCTAAACAAAACAAAAGACTAATACAGAACATGGGGTTATGTTCCAGAAGTTAGCAAACGCATACTATTTTTTTTTTTTTTTTTTTTTGTTACTAAGAGAAATATGTTTATTAAAGCAATTGATAATTTATTTCAATCAATAATTAATTAACAATCACAATTAAAAATACTGTATTACACATTAATATTATTTTTAGTTAAACCAGGATGTTTTAAGTATCATTGTCATCTTGGCTTTTTTTATTGATCTTGATCAGAAGTATCAACAACATTCCATATTTTTTATTTTTTGTCATACAAATTTTTATGGATGATGAAATAAAAATATGTTATTAATCAAAAATTTGTTCTAGCAAGTTGCATTGAAAGGTGCTATTTGCTGTAAGATAACATTCATCCATCTGGACTAGTGATGTGCCAGATCATTAAAAATGTATATCTGCGGATACGGATACGGATCATTAGTGTCTAGATCCGCGGGTACGGATACAGATCTCTACTTTCGTATTCAGTCGGCGCCGGTACGTGTGACCTCGGACCGATAGTTGACGCTTTGTGTTAATAACGCGACCTGTTTTGACTTGCACTGCACGTGTTTTTATTTATAGTGTGAAAATGTGCTAAATTAGAATTCACCACAAAGGCAGACAGGATAAAGTAACAAAAGTTGATATAATTTTCCAATTAAGCTATTTCGCGTCTTTATAGTGTGAAAGTGTGATAAATTAGAATTCACCACAAAGGCAGACAGGATAAAGTAACAAAAGTTGATATAATTTTCCAATTAAGCTATTTTGCGTCTTTATACAAATTTTATTTCGGGGGATTCCAACTTCATAGTACAAACAGTAGCATGCGAAATTACAGCGATAATAATAGTTTGCTGTACCCAAAGCTTGTGTACAATACAGATCCCGATCGCGACAATATAACCCGGAACCTTAAAACTAACCTTAAACACTAACTTAACACTAATAACAGAAAAAGGGATAGAATTAAGAAGACAGAAAAAATGGTAGATAAGATAGAAATAGGGATATCTGGGGTTTTGTCCCTTTTTTCGGCTTGTTTCTTTATGCATACTATTGGGTGGGATAACACACGTCCTTCTCCTATAACTGGCCACTTCTCTTCTACAATAATTAGGATTTTTTCCTTCCACAGTCGTCAATACGACCTTAAAACATGATCTTTTTTCTGAACTTATTTCTGAACTATCCGGTCATTGAAAATACGACTCCCAGTATTCTCACCTCGTCCGTACACTCTGCCGTCCGGTTTACGAATGACCTGCTACGTCACTTCTCTTTTTTCTCCGGCTCCTGCTTACACCTTTGCTCCTCAAATTTCTAGGAACTGCTCATCCCACCCAAGGGACAGGGAATAGATAAGAAAGTTCTAGAAGAAAATAGAACAATAGAACAAAGGGTAGAAAGAAGAAACGAAACTAAACTAAAATTAATATTTACAAAAATATAGCGTACCGCCACAATAGTTTAGTGCAGTGTTTCCCAACCTTTTTTGTGCTATGCCCCACCTAAGCCTTTCTAAAATTCTTATGTCTCCCTAACATATACAGCGGCTATACGGTTAACTTAAACTCTGGACAAGTCCATTTTCGAATTGCCCTCCTTAGCAATCCAATTGCCCCCTGTGGGGCGTGGGCCCCACGTTGGGAAACACTGGTTTGTGGCTAGTGTGACACGGGATAGCGTAGATTACGTTTGTGTTTTTGGAGAGTGTTGAGTTAAATTAAAATAAAAACAATGTCGACAAAAAAGTTTAGTAGTGTAATATGGAAATATTTTACGATAGTGAATGACGAATGTGCTATTGATACCTATCTTTAAAATTTCATACAAGTAATGAAATTCATTAAGATAAAAGATCCGTTAGAAGATCCGCTAAAAAGTAACGGATACGGATCTTTTTTTCCCTCGGATATCCGCGGATACGGATATCCAGCACATCACTAATCTGGACATTCTGCAACATGCAGTCATGGTCATTGTTACTCGGCTAAATTGTATTATACTTTGTGGTGGGGATCATATCAAACACTTGCTTCTTTAATAAACATATTTAATGTTGCTTGCATGTCTATTCATTGTCTTTTGTATACTAATGCTACTTATTGGTTATTTTTTAAACTAATTTTTTCCTTGTCAACATAAAACCCCTCTCCATACTGACAATATTTAAATTGCAAACTGCATTTTAAAACTGCATATTATTCTGATAATTCTCATAACTTTTATGCATTTTTAAAGTTTTTACTGACTCTACCCACACTATATATAAAAACACTATACTGTAATTTCAACTTAAACATACAGATGTAATTACATCAATGTGTTGGAATCATACTTCTACTGTCACTTCTTACTACACTATATTTATTACTACACAATTGTAGATAAGATTACGGAATAAATTAAATTGGAAAACTCACAAAGTTGTATCATTACAATGTGTTTACTAGTGTACATACAATGTATTTAAATTTAATTTACTTTTAACTCTTGAAAATTTTAAATCTATTCATTTTGGTGACATCTGATGTCTAATTGATTTTAAAATTTTTAAATTTTTCAACTGTGTTAATGTGAATTTGCATAAATAGAGAGATTATTGTATTTTTTCAATAAAATCCCGGGATTCAAATTAACCTTGGAGAATAAAGATGCTCTTAAAAATGAACTTTGCTCTTAAATAAACCCCAGGCTGTAAAGCATGGAAAACAAAAGTACTGCATTGTATACAGTAATATAATTTAGAGTGATGGATAAGGTGTTTAACTAAAATTCTTCTTCTTTAAACTGTCTAGGTTGGACAGCATTTTCTATTCCAAGATTTATGGAAATATTTTTTGAAATAAAATTATAAATATTGTTGAATATTGAAAATGTGGAAAGGACAATGAAGTTCCATAATTCAAGACTTTATCAACCAAAGGGTAATTAGGAAAACTGGTTCAAACTCACCATCTCTTTTGAAAACAATGGAGTTTGAACCAGAAGATAGTCAAGATCATGATTCCTACAACATCAAAGCAGACACGAATGACAATGTAATAAATAAGCGAATTGGAAGACACTAAATTGTGTCAACTATGAAAACAGAAATTATTTCAAATATAGCTGTAACCCATAAATATAATCAATAAATGTTTTGATAGTTAGGAAAATGTATGAATAATTAAAGTATTTCAATTTTTACCTGCTTGTCTCCTGTTACAATGTAATAAACTCTGTCCTTGAAAAAACCCTTTGGGATAAGTATGTTTCAAAAATCAACCCCTAGGATTTAATGACGGAAATATAATTAATTTATATAAATTATATTTAATATTTAAAATATAACAACACGTGCTATTACGTTGTGATATAAAATGTAAGCTTACATGAAATTTTATAGTTTTATGTATTAGTAATTATTTTACTTTCTTTTGTTTAGATATGGAGCCCAAAAATTGCCTTAAAGAAATATCGCAGTCTTTGAACACCAAAAACAATTCAAAAATTATGTCTTCGTGGGAAAGAAGAAAATTATATTCAAAACAAATGTGTGTGAAATTATTATTATTAGTTTAATTATAATATTGTTACATATTAATTTGCTAATGTGATTCTAATATAATTAAAATAAAAATTAGAGAGATCATTCATTAAAAGAATATTGCCTTTAGAAAAATTACCATATTTTCATGCAGATAATTTGTGGATATCTATAAAAAAAAAAAAGTCAATTTGATATCAATACAGGTTATGTAACAGAATGATGTCTGTTGATTTTGTAACTTGTCATTTATTATGAATATTTAAAATTTTTCTGTTGTCTAATGCCACTAAAAACATCTTTAGGGAACATGAAAAATTTTGTGTCTAAAACATTTTGCCATTTTTAAGTTAATAAATTTTCTTTCAATAAAATGAATAAATATTTATTTAAAAAGAAATTTCTTGAAACTTTGTTGAGCTTTTTGCATATTTCTTTTTTAATTCTCTTACAGTTAATTTCATAACTATTAATTATAAATTTTCATTTCTCCTAAACATTTTAATTTCATTAGTAGAAATTGTCAACTTTATCAGTATGTCTTTAAGTTAATGATTAGCATCAAGAAATATTTTCAATAGTAATGTAGTTTAGGAAGTACCATTTTTTCTGTTTCACTTATTTTGTAATTGTGTCTGTAATGAACTGTTAATGAAAATGAAACAATTCTTTCTAAACTGCTGATGATAAATGTCCCATGTTTAGGAAGTGTAGGGTATATATTGGTTCAGGTTATTCAAAGATTTTATTTGTATTTTAGTAGTTTTTTTAAAACTTTTTGATTATAAGCTGACAACAGCTATGTAGGAATAGTATTTGAGATGCATAAATTTTTTAACTGCTAAAAACGATCAGTGAGACTTTTTTAATCTGTATATATAAAACTGAATTTATATAACTGAATGATTTCTAAGAAACTTTGTATATATATTTAGGATAGTTCTAGTAAGGTGGATATATAGACTACTTTCCATTTCCAAAATCATTTGATTTGAAGAGTTTTGGTAGGATTATGATATTGTGACCTGAGGGTTAGCATCTCCTTGATGCCTAGTCACGACTGATACCACCATGTCTTGTTTGACATGGAAGCCGGAATGGTGAGATTTGTTTAATTCGATTATCTGCGCATGTTGCCATCCACATGCGCGGACAATCGGATTTGGAATGGAAGAGATCTGAGAGATGGTGCACCAGAATTGAATAACTCAGATGCCAGGTTAACAACCAATAACGATTTAATTTCAAAAAAACATGATATAATTTACAATTTAGTAAGACATTAAATTTAAAGGATCTATAGGCATAAGTGGTTGCAAGAAAGAGAGAGATTTTACATGAGATTCACGTGGTGATAAATACCTCAATTTTAATAGTGTTAGAAAGTGGTCTTATGCACATTGACAGGAAATGGTTGACTCATTCTTGATTGTTGTAGCAAGGATGACAACTGCCTAGACTCACAGCTACTTGCTATATTGAACTGATGAAATTGAAACAGCAGGTCAGAAGGTTATGAGAGAGTGTCACTTTTGATGCTGAGAACTTAACAGATGATTTATTCTCAGGTGTGAAAGTTGACAGTTATTCGACAAAGTTTTGTTGTCAAGACATTATGTCTGATTTAGTTGTGTTGTTAATAAGTTATGCAGTGAGTGCAGATTCTCATAATATCAATAGCAAGAATAAATTGTTCACACCTGGTTTTTGTCAGATCTTTTGCATGAAAAGGGTTTTTTCTGGAGGCCAGTAGATGTTAAATGAACTATTAAATTCAATTACAATAGGTTAATATTGTGGTCATTAATGTGGAGAAAGTGGATTAAACTGGTTAAATGAAATTAGATTATTCAGCCTGTTATTTGAACAAAATGTTTGCAGTACTGAACATATAACCAGAGCCATTTTTATCTATATCAGATGTTTGACATAACATTGATTTTGGTTAGATCTGTTGTAAATACTGTACAAGTTTCTTTTCCTTACATACATTTTAATGTATATATATTTTTATACAGGTACATTAACTTTACTTAATATGTTGTTTTTCGCAATTAAACTGGGTATCTCAGCTAGTATTCTATATATGTAAATGAGGAAGTCTGTTTGTCTGTTTGTTTGTTATACACTCCTACGTTGTTTGACCAATTGCTATGAAACTTGGCAGTTACATTTACATATTTCTAATACATTCCAGTCCAAAATATCTATTGGATTTCTGTAAATCAATTAATTTCTATCTGCATTTGATTTTCTGAGTTATGTTTACGTAGGGCCATCTATTGGCAAAAAATTAACAAAATAATGAACTAAATATAATTCTTATAAAAAAGGATATACAGTAGTTATACTCAGGATACAAAATTAATCCATTCCTAAACTGAGATCATATCATGAAAATGTTGTAAGGTGAATCATTTTTCCCCATATGATTACATGTAAAACCAAATGATCTGTTCCAACATGAAAAACACTCAAATTACAGCTAAGTAGTACATTGAAAAAAACTTAGTAAGGAAAATACTGAAAAATGTATTTTGTAGTTGTAAATGTATAAATAACCATAATAGAATAATAATTGATTTAAAAAAATGTAGTTTTATTTGCACTTTAACTTTGAGGATAGAAGACGGTGGAGGTGTAAACTGGTGGCGAAAGAGAGGGAGAAGGGAAATGATACTAAAACTTAACTTACATAACATAATGTAACAATAACTTAAAAATAACTTAACACAAATTTTTTTATCTTTTCTGTTTTATATATATTTTTTAACTTTTTATTCACTGATTTTTGCTTTTTTTCCTTCACTTCTACCAGCACTTTCACTCGGTGGAGGTTGCTTGGTAAAATATCTATCCAAAGAGGTTTGGCTTTGCCTACTTTTTAAAATGTTTCTAAAATGATTTAGGCAAATGTCATTAAAGTGAGCAGCAATACGGCCAGTCTGAACGTTTTTGGAATGCTTCTTTTTAATAAAATCAGTCACTTTCTGATAATACCTCAAGATTTCCTTTATCGAGCGAGATTTTTCCTTGACAAAGCAAACATGCAGACCGAGACTGATGAACAGAAGGAACATATGATTATGGCGGTGGCACTGCAAACTAATGTAACGTCTTATGGTAAGTTTTTGTTCGTACCGTGGAGCAAAAATATGTTTGAATTTCATGTCGTAGATAATACATGACTGCACTCTGCTTCAGCCACTCAAGCTGTGCTTCAGAAATACTAGACTTTGTACTAATAGTGCCAATATTTTGTTACTTTATCCATATATGTATCTAAAAAATATAAATATAATGTGTATAAAATTTGTATTGTGATATTTACAGTCATATTAAAATAATGATAGTTTCTGTAACTCAATTTTTTCCTGTCCTTTCCTTGAGTTGTTGAGCATCTACTGTAATACCATACTTTCTGGTGTATAAGACAACCCAATTTTTACAGTTAAAATATAGAGTTTGGGATATACTCACCGTATAAGACTACCCCGGCCCACCCTTGTATCCTATTACCGTACCTCCTTCTCTGCTTCTCAGATTTTGCACATGCGTGACTGCGCCACTTCACTGCAGTCCTCAGGAGCGAGATCTGAGAGGCAGAGAAAGAGGTATGGTAATAGGATATATACAAGGGCAGGCCAGACGGGTGAAAGATGCATGTTTTTCTGGGCACAGCGCTGCTCTATCTCTATCCATACCCCGGGCATCCTGGCCGACTGCAGCACCCGGCGTATAAGATGACCCCCCAACTCTTGAGAAGATTTTCCTTGGTTAAAAAGTCATCTTATATGCCGGAAAATACGGTATATTAATTGTCTTACATGAAAACTATAAAATAAACTTTTTTAACATTATTTAAAAACAGTCAATCAAATACAAATTTGATACTATTTATGTACATATCAGATTTTAAATATACAGTATTAGAAGGGGAAATTATATTCTCAGAATATTTTCAGAAAGTCTGAAAACAAAATAAACACTTCTTAAACTATTGATTTTAAGATAAGAATATGCAATGAATTATATGTGATATTGTTGATTTAAATCTTGTTTTAGTTCATTTAGTTAGAATATGGTTGTTAGAAATCAATATGATCTTAACTTTATCTGAAATTTAATTTATTTTAAAATAATTTTGAAGAAAGTTGAAAATTTTATTTATGAAATAATATATTTCAAAATAAAATTATAATGTATAAGTTTAGATAAATTTAATTTTTATTAATTATTTATTTATTTGTTTACTAGGTATCAGAAACAAAATATATCTAAAGTTTCTCAGAAAAAAGTACAGATTTCTAAGTGTGTTGATAAGCCATTAAAAGAAATTGGTAATGAAAAAAAGATTGAGGAAAATGATAAAACTCGAAAAAGAAAATTTTCTACTACTGCAGATACAAAACAAGATAACAAAGATGATAAAGAAAATACTCTCTCGGATACAGAAAGCAGTACTGCTTTGTTTGATAGTCCTGTTCCACGTAAACTACGCTGTAGAGATTCTTTTACTATTTGTGAAGGCCCTTCACCAATGATACTGAAAACTAATCAAAGAGAGCTATCAGGAGAATCAATCATACAGTCTAACAAAACCAATTTATCAACTTCTGCATGTAATCATTCAGGAAGAAAACGCAGACGATCAAGTACAGTTTTAACTACAACAGAAAATGAAATTGTTGATAAAAAACAAAAATTACTTAATGACACTCCAGAAACTGTTATTGAGAATAAAACTGATCAAAAACCAGAAGATTTAGCAGAAACATGCAATCAGAAAAATGATTCATCTAAACAAAACAAACCACCAAAACCTGGTAGTGGAGCTGCTACAATGGTTAAAGCATTAAATGATGACCAGAATGAAACAGAAAAAATAATTTCTGCTGAAGGAGAATTAAGCAGAAAGTAAGTAAAGAAGAAATTATTGTAGCATACAAAAATTATTAAAATAATTTAATTTTTAATTTAACTAAACATTTAGTATATAATTATATAACTAAATATAACAGCAAACAGAATTAGTAATAAAAATATAGTTAGATTACAAAAGTTTTTTGTAGCTGAAATATATAAAAATGTTTTTTCTTAGTTTGTGTTACACAAACAGTTTTCCTTTTTCATAAAAGTTCAATACTGCTAAGTCTGGAGACTCGCTTTCCATTAAAAGGTACCGAAATAATCTACCAGAATTCTACAAAAATTAGATGTAACTGGAGTTAATAGAATTTCTATTAACTGTTACCTTTGATTGATATCTTAATCTACTAGACTTAGAAAATCTTTTAACAATATGAGATACATTATGCACTCTTTATGTACCATTCTTTGTCAGAATCCCATTGCACTGGCTCCAGTCCAAAATATCTATTGGATTTCTGTAAATCAATTAATTTCTATCTGCATTTGATTTTCTGAGTTATGTTTACGTAGGACCATCTATTGGCAAAAAATTAACAAAATAATGAACTAAATATAATTCTTATAAAAAAGGATATACAGTAGTTATACTCAGGATACAAAATTAATCCATTCCTAAACTGAGATCATATCATGAAAATGTTGTAAGGTGAATCATTTTTCCCCATATGNCCATTCTTTGTCAGAATCCCATTGCACTGGCAACCCTAATATACTACACAGCAAAGTGGGTTGCTAGAAGTAACAACCCTTTGGTGACAAATATATGTAAAGCTTCATACATGTGGTCATCATATATTCAAATCTATACAGTTTATTGATTTTTGATGATTGTGGTGATGTACCAGTTTTAATCATGTGAAACAAACAAGAATTACATTTCTGGATATTTAAATTAATTAATCAAGTATAGTACAACTAAGAATTGTTGGTGAGCTACAAAAAAGAGTTGGTAGGATATGGGCTGGCTAGTTCTGATGTATATAATATTCATTTCTAATAATACTTTTTTAGATAAGTAAATACAGTTAAACTCAGTTATAATGAACATGAAGTGCGTTTGCTTATAACCATTACAATATAATGAGTAACGGTCATTCAAAGTATTATGTCATTTCCTTTTTCTAAAAATTATGATGCAGTTGACTTGTTAATATAATATATTTCCATATATAATATTGTATTAATTTTTAAAACAATCTAAGAGATATCTGTTATTGCAAACAAAATCTTGTTTTAACTTTGCAAACTTCTTTGCTTGTGCTTTTAATATTGGCCCATCAGTTGGAAATTTGACACTTTTAACTAAAAACCATACAGATATCAATGAAGTAATGCTTCATTGATAGCATATTATTTCTAAATTTTTTAATATCTGAGATGTTATTCGTCAATGTATGTAAATAGACTTCTTATTTTTCCACAATGTTGATCAAAATCACAGTTTCACAGTATTCATCAAAGATAATGAGCCAGAATTTCTGCACACATTCACATTTTTTAATCTGCATTATAATTCTCAGATAATTTCAACTTTTTCATGAATTAAGCAGATCTTTTGTTAGATGGCTTGCTTATTTTGAAAGGCCAAAAACTTTAAGATAAATATAAAAATGATCATAAAAGATAATCATTTTAATTTTAAGTGCTTACATTTAAAATAATTTTAAACATAAGCACTTTAAAAAATAGTTTTGACATTTTAGTAGATAGTTTGCTTAGGTGATAATGACTCACTCATTAACAAGAAAAATTTACTTATGTCTGTGACTCATTATATAATGCTGAATATTTACATAAAAATATATCTTCACTGAAAATAAAATGAATTTTCTTGAATAGCCATGAACTTGTTATAATATAAAGCTCATTATAACCAAGTTTGACTGTATAAGATTTTATATAAGTTCTAAAATAATCATTTATATACTACATTCAGTTATTTATGTACAATTATTTAAAAAAAGTAGAAATAACATGATGCTAATCCTCTTTTTGTCATGTTTGGTATACAGTACTTTATTTTAAAGTTTTTATAAATTACAAATATATATTTTTTGATTTATATATATATATTAATGAAATTTGTTTGAAGTTGTATTGGATTCCAATAATTCTAAGTGAATCTTTATTTATTTTAGAGAACGATTGATGAAATGGAAAAAAGAACAAAAAGAGAAAAAGTTAAAGAGGTAATTAAAAATTAACATTAGAGTAAATTCTGTCTAAAACTGGCTGAGTTTGGTTATAGTTACTGTTTCGTAGATATGGTAGATCATGCAAACCACTTTTCTACCATATTGAAACATTCTCACAGAATTGAAATTTGTATTAGCTGTAAGAATGCTCTAGTATAATGTTATTGAAACTGTGGTCTGCAAACCAGTGCTGGTCCAGGAACAATTAGTTATTGAGCTGCAATGAGATTTCACTTAAAATCTCAGAATTTTATCTACTGCATTAATATTACTATAATAAAAAGTCACTGACTGACTATATATATATATATACAGGAATCAACTGCCAGTTTTCACGGAATGATTTCTCCACCTCCCAAATGCTTATAGTAATTCTGAATATCTTGTTTGAAAGATAAATGGTTTAAGTAGTGTGCAAAATTTCAGCTTTTTCAATAAAGGGGTTGCTAAAATATAATAATAATATAATATAATAGTAATAAAAATTATGATATAAATATAATAAATATAAGCAGTTGAAAAGTATAAAAATTGCCAAAAAAGCCTTCTTTTTCTCCTTCATTTGGCACTGCAGATGCTCTTAGGGAAAAAACTACTGGAAAAGTCAAATTTTTAACTTATTGTTATCAGTGAGATGCTCATGAAACTTCCAGGTTGACAGGGGTTCCTCAGAGAGTTATTTTACTTTTCTTGCTCAATTTTATAATAAAATTGCATCAAAATGGATTCATTTCATTCAAAATGTTATCCAGAATAACAAAAGCTCAAATTTAAATGAGTTAAACATTTTATAATAATTTTACTGAATGGCATGTTGAAAGTGTTTGGTTGGTGATGGCCACTGACCAAATTGTACATCATTGTTTTGGTGTAATAACATGACAATGCCAAAGCATCCCCTATGCTTCCACATTACTTGGCCGAAGGGTCAACACCGTGTCTGCAATGACTGCATCATCAGGACTGACACCACTATGTCTTATGGACAGACACGGAAACCTTGATGGCTGCTAAGTTTGTTTACGACGAGCAGTTGTGCGTAGGTGATTAGTAAGGTCTGGATTTTTGGGTGCATTTTTAGAATGGATTGGATGCTTGTTTGGGTGCTTTTTAAATGCTGTATTATTAAGACAAAAACCAACAAGAAGTATTATATTTACAAATTATATACAGTTTAACCTGCTTATAATGTCATCCATGGGACCGGCAATTTTTTGACGTTGTAACCGAGTGTCGTTGTCTGCGGGGTCATAATTTCAGTCCCATAAAAGTATCAAGTCTGTTTAAGAATCTATTTTAAAATTCATCTAATTTAATATCGTATGTATAAAAGTGCAAACTAAATATTTAAATCAACTTTATTTACATTATTATGTCTAAATTTACAACGATGTAATTAAAAATTTCAAAAATTATTTTTTATAAGAAATTTTTATTTGTCAAGTTTCGATAATGGCGGCACTTTCAGTTTTGAGAATAATGTCGAATCAAAAGGCAACAAAAAGTTAAATTAAGCATGAAACGAGAAAATTATCATCCAGGTGTTATTAATGCCTGGATGATAATTTTCTCATTTCTTGCTTATCTATCAATGGACTTGAAGTCCAATATCTTCCACTTTTAGGTTAAATTAATGTATATCAATTAAAAAGAAACAATAAAAATATTCACTTAAAAAAAGTCAGTCATTTTAGATTGTAGGCATTTTTCACCTAAAAATCATTTATCAATGTCATTTTCTAAGTCGTAGATTTTGTTCATTATTTCCGATGAAGTTTTACGAGACCTGTAGAATTTGCTAAAGTCTCTGCATACATCTGCCTTTTTTCTTCCACTTTCAACTGCTTTAATTATTTCTAATTTAAGAGTGCTTCAAATATGACGTTAAAACAGGGTTTTATGTCGTTACAAGTGGGTTTTTTAACATTATCTAGTATAGTAAAATCTTGGGACCGATAAAAATTTGACGCTATATTAGGGTTGTCATTACATCCGGTGTCATTATAATCGGGTTAAACTGTATTTTGTAACACTTTGATAAATAAAATTTATAATTTAATTTTGTAAATTTAAGAGTGCTTCAAATATGACGTTAAAACAGGGTTTTATGTCGTTACAAGTGTGTTTTTTAACATTATCTAGTATAGTAAAATCTTGGGACCGATAAAAATTTGACGCTATATTAGGGTTGTTATAATCGGGTTAAACTGTAGTTGTTTATTGCAGTCTACACACAAAGATGAGCATTGTACTTTACAATAGTAACCATTTCAATGTTCTTAAAAGTGAGGTTTTCTCATTTGGAGGATAGAATGTCTTTATATAAGGAAAAAGACCAAGACTAAGGGAACATGTTTCATTTTTACTCAGAATTCTAGTTCAGTGCAATCCAAAATATTTTTAAAATCAGGATTTTTTGATAAACTAGATCTGAGTTTGTCCAGGGCAAAACCGTCCAGTACATCAAGTGCCTGACTTAGAACATTCCACTGATTCTACATTTCAGTTCCATATTTTTAGCTTGTTGATTTTATTCACCAATAAACTTGTACGAATGCTCTGGGGTCACTATTGGATCAGCAACCAGTTTCTTGATACTGTTAACGGCCGCAGAATTGTCAAGAGGAAGTTCATTGATAAACGTATTGATTTTCTCAAAGTTCTTGCAGTAGAATACCACACTGTTTATCCAAGACCTCCAACAGGTGACCATTGGACTGGTGGTAATGGCAGCCCAGTTACGTCTTGGTACAAGTGCTCCCGACTGGGGCACTTGAGAAGAACCATTTTCATTTTTGAAATGAAGTTGTTGGCCTTGCTATATTCTACATGAATACATTCACATACTCAGTGTAGAGCATGGGCAAGAAAAGTCACATGCTTCTTGTAGTAGATGCACTTCAAATTTGAGAATGCTGACAACAGGTAAGATGCTTGATCTGTAACGACAAGCCAAACCTTTTCGTACTGGACATCATTTGGCCACAACTTGATGCAAACATCATTGAAAGCTTGGGACACTGTAATTGGGTTTGTATTTTTAAGTTGGTACATTTTGAACAACATTGATTGAACAACATTTTGAACAACATTGACTTAAAGGCTGGATTGTTTACCTTATATAAGGGTATACTTGCCTATAGAAGAGCAGTTGTTAATTAAATTTGCATAAAATGTATTATTAGCCTTCTGAGATTCTTCTCCTCTTTGAAATGAGGCCCCTATAAATGTCTGCTTGAAATTCCTCCTTTTCTATGCTTTTCCGAACTCATGTGTCACCTGATTTTTGTTTCTTGGTGTTTTACATCAACTGAAATTGCATAATTGCAAATGGAACAGCAAAGAACTTTCCATCTCTGCATATGCCTTCATCTTTAAACTTATTCGGTAAAATGTTCAGTTTAGATGCGAACAATTTTGCCATTTTCTAATGTCACCCACACCAAACAAAAGAAATTGGAACCATTGTGCTCACACGTCGGGGTAAGGTGACCTCAATACATAATTTTCTAGACTGTTCTTTTCGTAGAAAGAAAACACGTGTTGCAGATTTTCAGTAAATCTCTGTAATCCTAAGGTTTAGTTGTTTAGTCCAAAAAATTCCCCTTTACTCCCTTTTCTCTCAACAAAAGACAAGAGTAAGCTAATTATCATATTTTTTCCTCAGCATATGTAGTCCAGTGTAACAAATTTGTTTTTCCCCCTCCAGTGAATGAATAAAACCCACCAAAAAAGAGATAATTGTCAACATATTGTTTGAAAATGTAAAAAAAGGGGAAAGCCTGGTGCAAAATATATAGTTTGGGTGCTAGTCACCATTTTGGGGCAGGTTTGTGTTTTGGGTGCATTTGGGTGCTAAACAATTTGTCAATGAGTGGACCTACTGCACTAAAACCAATGTAGTTTATCTTTTTACACTTTGCCCCTTTCAAAACCTGAGTGGGTGCAGCACCCAAAATTCCAGACCTTAGTGATTAGATTTGGGATAGATGAGGTCTGAGAGACAGCATGCCTGAAAGAAGTTGCACTTTACTACTCATGTAATGCAAACAAATAACTGTTCATTTACATAGGATTATATATATACAGTCAACCCTCCCTATAACGCAGTAGATACGTTCCGCTTTATAAGAATTTCGCGTTGTAGGAATCCTTAAATACATGAGCCAATCACAGCCTGGCATGTGTGCAGTTTACAGACTATGGCTGTTTGAAAGATTTTCTTCCATAAAATTAATCGACTCTAGACTAATTTCACTCAACATTTCCAAAACACACATAATTTTTTGGGAATAATCTGTATAAACTATGCTATAAACAAAAAATTGTAGGATTACTTACCGAGTGTGCACCGTTCGACCACGCCATTGCTTAAGCTTGTTTTTGTTGCGGATCAGCACATCAAACAGTGGGCACGTTTTCTGATAAGTTATTTTTCTGCGAAAAATTTGTTGAACTTTGGAGACATCATTAATAGAAATAATTTTTATGACCGTTGAATAAGAAATGTTTTTTTCACAAGAAATGTATAAAATTACAGTACTGTATTAGACTTACAGAACCTAATTTAGGCCTATATACTGTACAGACGATAGTAAACTCAACTTACCCGCCTAAACTCTCCGTAGCGTGTAAGTAGTTTGGCTGTTCGTCCACTATTGGTCCAGATTCGACCAATCCTGTCGCAACATGAATCGGCGATGATGTTTTACCACATTTTAAGAGTCTCTTTTAGTGTCTTTATACAAATACGGTCGCAATTTTTCGCCACAATATACAAATCCGCATTATATGAACCCGCGTTATAGGGGGATCTACTGTAATCCTAAATAATTCTTAACCCTAATATATATATTAGGGTTAAGGATTAAGTATATAGTAATCAAAGAGCATATCAATTAAATCATATCTGATCCCTAACTGAGAGAGAGTGTGTTTACATTCGATTGCGAGTTGGTATTTACATGAAGGTGTAGGCCTTTTGTTGTGATCTTAGGAGGATGGGTTAGCACATAGGATTTTGTTCTTCGATTAGAATGGTGTTGCCACTAGGCAGATAGGATTTCACTAGGATTTAGTCCCTGGAGATAATTGGCAGCGATGATTTGATAGGCTGTGTATATCCAAGATGAGTGAATACTTGATGATGATGGGCTTCTTCCCTTTTATTTGGAGTCCTCCCATGTTTAGTTCTATGTCCATTTTTGGTAATGTAAGTTAGTTAAACCAATGGTGACTTTTTGATGTTATTTTCCTGATACAGTCAAAAGTGACAGTTAGAAGATTCGTCTCTGGACAAGGAAGCATGCCCGTGGGAAAATGGAATCACTTCCTGCTATTGTGATTGAGATTAAAAATTTTAGCAAAATTATTTAAGTAAATAAACTCTATTTAGCGCAAGTTCTCACAAACACAATCATTAACCAAAAAATCTGAGATGTCAAAAAATAAATTGTACTAAGTGTGAGGTTCCGACACAGGTCGAAATTAAATATTAATTACAAGTTATATTAGATGAGAAAATCGCTATTGTCAAGTTGGACCAAAGGTACAAGTTATGTAGGAGAGAGAGAGAGAGAAGGGAAAAAACTGTAGTTGTCAAAACAAACACAACACAAAGATAAATGATGTGTTGGATTAGATGGAATGTCTGCCCGAGAAGATGGAACTCTGACATGAGCACTCGTAAACAATTGATTTAGGTTAGAAATTTGGAAAAGGGGGAAGATTCGACAGTTAAAGAAACCTTGCATGCGATTGTTAAAATTCTGAATTGACAAAAAGCAGAAACAGTGGGTTAAATTACAAGTGCAAAGTTTATAGTTCTATCAACAATTTCCGATTCAGAGTTGACAGAAGGTGTCAGATAGACACCTCAAACAGACCTTTCTTGTGACTCAAACAGGTTTCGGTTTTCACCTGAAGACAGGAGAGACCAATTGGGAAGTGAGGAAAGGGATGTAGGGCCAATCAGAAAAACTGATGGAGAGAGAAAAACTATAAAAATAAAAAATTTAAGGTCGGGGTTCTCTCTCCAGAATAATCCCAAAGTTGTGTGCTGTAAAAGTTGTTCTCTGTGTCTTGTCTGCCGCACTGAGGACCGCATCACCATCACCTACCTGTCATCGCTGTAGACTGAAAGAACCCTTCTTGCCTGCTCCAGGCTGTGATCATCCAGCAGGACTATCTGAAGACTGGAGTTACTTTGCTTCACAAACTACACCTGATTAACTGTTGTAAAACAACTAGACAATGTAAGCATTCTTCCTGTCACAATAAATGATTGATGGACTTTGTAAGACACTTGTCATCTCTGTCTCCAACACCATCACCCTCATGTGAACGACCCTAGCCTTCTTGACATGGATTGAGTAATCCCCTGAGAGTCAGTAAATGCACACTGGTGTCAGAGAAGTGGATTTTAAGTCCTTGATCTGCACCAGGTTGGCGAACTCACATAAGTAAAAAAAATTGAATAGGTGACAATCAAAGTTCTTTTCTTAAGAGTTTTTCTTTGTTAAGGATAAGATTGGCAATTCAAAATGAAATGTAGGAAACAATAATAAAAATCTTGTGGGTATTGTTTTGACCTGTTAAGCTTATCTTTACCAAAGAAAAACTCCTAAGAAAAGAACTCTGACTGTCATCTAATTGTCAATTTTTTACTTAGTATAATTTTTTTGACATCTCAGATGTTTTTGTTTGGACTTTCAAATGCCCTTAAAAGTTTTTAAAAACATGCTGTTCAATTAGTTTTGTGTGAACCGCCGGGGAGGGTAGGATGGATTAAATTTTTCTTTTTCCCGCTGTAACGGGATTAAATGTTTTGGGTCGAGTGGCGGAGGGAGGAATGCATCGGTAAGATGACAGGCGATATATGAGTAAACGAGGACACCAACTTAACAAGATAACAACGATTTATTGACTACATAGATTCTACAATAACTATTGTGGAGGAAAAAATCTGAGTCCCTAAAACGCGAAGGGCTGAGAGAGAGTTCACAAAAATTTGTTCCATACCTCTTTATGTCTTTAAATATTCTTGAGGAAAAAGATTATAATATCCAACGGGTTGGTAGGATAAGGATAATAATTTTTGCAGGACACAATATCGATAGGACACAGTATTAAAGTGACGGCGGATAAACGACTTCCCCGAGAGGGGGAAGCAAGTGGCTTTTATAGTTTCGTCGTGGGAGAATGGTCATGTGACCAATTGTTGTGAGGTAAAAGGTACGCGGATGGGTCAAAGTTGTCCCTGGGCCCATGCTAACTATCAACTTTGGAGTTGGAATGTGGGATTAGTTTCGAAATGGACGGATGTTTACTTTGAACGAAAGGGGAGATCAGAATTTTTCCCTTTTTTTAAGTTAGGTTTTAGTTTAGAATTTAAAGGAAAATTTAATTGGGGGTTTAGAAAAATGTTGTATATTAATCGGAAAATTCAGTAAAATTTCCGGATTTCACATTTGTTTTTCTTTATTTTAACACTTAATGCCACAGCTGGACCGGCAATTGACACTGGCCCAGAAAATTACTTGAAAATAGTCCACAAATCCATTTTTTCAAAATGATTAAAATCAAATTTTGTTGTTGCATTTTTCTCACAAATTCAGTGTAAAAATTAAAATAAAAATTTCATTTGAAGATTATTCTCTGCTTTATAATTATTTTTATTTAATTTCACAAAAATACTGGTCTGATTAGAACAGAAAAAAAAAACTTGGTTGGTGAACACAGAGTTTGAGAAGCACTGTTTTAGTGCGTGTATTCTCATTACAGAAAAGGTTCATTGGATAGGAATTCAATTAATAAGTGGATGAAATTTTTTGAGAGTTAGTAAATAAGAATCCACCATGAACATGGATGCAGTGGCCTGTATTCAAGAAGCATTTGAAAGGAATCCATAACAATTGACTACTTATTAAAAGTGTGTTTAGATTAAATTAAAGTTGAGATTTCAAAAGTGATTCATAAATCATTGAGCAACAACTGAGGAATGTTTTTTTAAATAAATTTCAACACTAGTTTGTGATGTGTCATGAAAGATGACAATTATGTTAAAGATTAAAAATTTTAACTGTATTGCAGCAAAATTTTAGATATACAATAGAAGTAATTGTAATGGCATATTCTTAATTAAAGTCATTGAAGTTGCACAAGGAATTTTGAACTATCTTTTGTATAAAAATTTAATAGTTCTTATGATCATCATATATAATTCTTTTACAAATATTAATTTATTATTGTGGAATTGTTTGCATTTAAATTGAAATGGTAATGGTATAATGTTGAGTTTAACTAATTACATTTCAAAAGAAATCACTTCATAGAAATGTCATTCGTAAAAGGAAGTGTTATTTTATATTTTATTATTTTTGCTATCATAATATTTTTCTAAAACATATTTTCTATTTTATGATCAGTATTAACTGTGGCAAATCAGAACTGGTTACAACTTTAATTAAAGGGAAAGGAATCAAAAGATTTTTTTCTCTTTGATACAGTGGGTTTCAGTTAGTAAAATTTATTTATGCTCAAAAATGGAGCTCTAAATACAGTAATTTACTGTAATAAAAAATTTTAAAACTTGTATTTATAATTTATTTATCTAAATAAAACTTTTTAGTTTTTTATTTAAATCTGAATTCATTAATTGTTTTACAGGATGACAGTATGTCCCATCATTTCTGAAAAAAATCAAAGAGAAGATCAAACTTCTTTAATTAATTTTAAAAAGGAGAAAGGATGCATGAAGACTAACAATGAATTGAAAAATATAAAACAACAAAACAGAAAGTCTATGATAGTCACAAAAACAAAACCTCATATAGTAGATAATAGTGATAAAATAAAAATGAAACAAGATGCTATTCCAAAAAGTAGACCATCATTATCATTTGCCAAAAGTAAGGAAGCAAATAATGATAGAAAGAAACTAGATGATATTAAGGAAACTAAAGATAATGTGATTTTAAACAGAAGAAAATCAACAATGGTCACAAAACAGAGATTCACAAAAACCAACAGTGATTTGCAAAAAAAAGATCATTTTCAGAAAACAAAAAGTAATGAAATTTTAAAGAGTAGACCATCATTGGCAGTTGCAAATAGTAAGAGATTTACTATGGCTGGTGATGATATACAAAAAATAGACATTGTTAAAAAGGCCATAAAAATTGATAACATTTTGAAAAGCCGAAGATCAATTGCAGTTATAAAAGGAAAAACATCTAAAACAAATGGTAACTCGAAAAAAATGATAAAAGGTAATGAGAATGTTGATACTAAACTTTTGAAAAACAAAAATGTAGCAAAAAATACAAAAGAAGCTTCAATTAAAAGCCCAGTTAAAGAACAGTCTAAAAAGCAGGTTCCTTTAAAAAAACAAACAAATAACAAAATTTCAATTGATAAGATATCTCAAAGAGAAGGAAATGAAAAAAATAAAGAAAATAACACTTCTGTAATTAATAAGAATCAGACAAGAAGGAGTATTTCTTTTTTATTTCATGCTGGTCAGCTAGAAAAAGCAAAATCTAAAATACATGTGAATAAGTCATCTTTGGTGAAATTGCCTGAAAAGGAGGAATTAAAATCTGTAATGAAAAGCAAAAGTTCTATAAAGAAAAGTGTAAATTTTAATATTAAGCCAGGCGTTGGAGTTTCTGGAAAACAACTTCCAAAAACTCCAATACAAAAATTAAATATAAGGTATGTGTTTTAGAATGAATTAATAATTCTCATATTTTTAACATTACTAATTAAGATTTTGTATTTTTGTTTTATAGACAACGTTTAGAATCCTGGCTTGATGATAAGGGAGATAGTCTTTCCAATTTTTATAATATCAACTGTTTTGGTCATTATATATCAGAGTTAAAGTTACAAAAGAGTTCTGCAAAAAAGGGAAATGCATCAGTAGAATTTAAGAGTTGTGTAGATTCTCTTGGAGGATCACCACTATTAAAGGTACTTAATTGGCATATTAACGTTAATTTCTTAATGCTAAAGTTTTTATGTAAGAAAAGTAAATAATTCTTTTTGCTGTTTTAAATTTAATTATAAAATAAACTTTTAGTCTTTGTTTCAGTTGATAAAATGCAAATGTATTAATTATTGAAATGAATTTTTAATTTGTAGAATACTTTAAAATTAAAGTATTGTTTACAACTATGCAATGAAACATTCAGTAATTTAAAGCAGTAAAGTGTCAGTCTGTTACTGTATGAGAATTCCAGAATCTATTTATATTAGTATTGGCTAATGCAGACATGTACAAATTATGGCCCTGAACTAGATTTGACATGCAAGAACCTTTTATATAGCTTATACATTTATACATATATTTTGAATGTGTCATTTAAAATTTCTGTGAAAGCATAAGTGGTGCCAAAATTTTGATGCAAAACAACAAAGAAGTGCACATTAAAAAATAGAAATAATGCTTACATTGAGTTCAGTCTTTTTGGTCTTGCAAATAGTTTAGCATCAAGCTGATAGATAGGAACAGATAAGTTATACTATTATTCACCATACATTCACATAATTTTTGGTCTATTTGGGCTTGTTTTCTATAGAGATATATTACATATTTACAAGCATTTACAAATGAAATTTTGTATTTAAGTTTTAGTATATGCAATGACAAGCTGATCTTGACTAATTTTATAATCAGAATGTAACCTGCATTTAATAAAATTTGCTAATGCCTGGGTTAAGAATAGCATTATTGACAAGACATAGTCTCATCTCTAAAATCTCGCTGTTGTCAATGGCTGCACACCTTAGAAGTATGAAGAAATACATTGTCAGGAGTTGCAATTTGGCATAGAGTATTTGGTGCCCAAATCATGCACATACAAAATAAACCAGACTTGTAGGTAGTCGGGATCGAGAAATGGGTCAAAAGAAAATATGAAATGCTGAGACTGTTTTTACAAACAGGTGCAAGTGTGAGATTTGTGCATGCATTGCTCGCACTCTCAAGGACATAGTCTTGTCCCAAAAATGGCTTTGCCATTTTACTTGTTTTTTAAATCTCCATTATTGTTTTATATACACTTTTTATGTTTTGCTGTAGTGCTGTATTTGTTAAACAATTAATAATTGATTTATAAGTCAATATGAGGCATTGGCCCATCATAGATTATTAAGCCACTTAGGCTTAATATAGATAAACTTGACTCAATGATTGCAATAAGGATGAGAGGTAAAAAGTAATGCCTTAGTATTATTTTTTCTCTCTCATCTGATAAATCAATTATTAAATGTTTAACATATAGAGTGCTACAGCAAAATATAAGAAGTGTATATAAAACAATAATGGAGATTAAAAAAATACTATTCTTAACAAGCAAATAATTTTTAATATTTTTATTATTTCATTTTTCATTATAGGTTCGAAATAGTCCAAATGAAGATGAAGTATTAACTAATGAAAATTATAATTTAGAAAAGGCACTTCTTGAATTGAAGGAATTATTACAGATTGTAAGTATTTCAAATACTTCATTTTGTTGATATTAAACCTTTTATATTTTAAATATATTAATTATGTGAATATTTTCAAAACTTTAGTAATTTTTAAAACATTGATTGATAAATATTTAAAACAGAGTAAGTAGTATGTGAATTTAACATGAATATGTATGCTTAAATTTAAGATTAGAATAATATACATAATTTATTATGTTTAAAATAATTTTAAACAAAAAGTAATGAAAATTATAATTGACATTTTTACATATTTATAAAATCTGTAGGGTTATCCTCCAGCAAGTATAACTGAATGGCTATATGAAATGGTAAAATACAATCCAGAAATAGAAAAAGAACCACAATATTGGATTTGTCATTCTCTTACTGCAGAAAAAGAAAATAAATTAGAAGATGCCTTAACATTTTATCATACTGCACTTGATAAAGGTGTCCAGGTAGAGTATAATTATATTTACTAAATGTGTTAATATGCATAAAAAAGAATTTACCTTTGATATATATAATCTAATATTGGTAATTTACAGTATAATGTAATCCTGTTGTAAATATTAAATCATTGTCATCACAATTAAAAGTGGTTGTTGTATTCACTAAAAAGATTTAAATGATAATTTCTTAAAATAGATTATAGTATAAATTTATTTATATTGTCATACTATGATATTTAGTTAAATAAAATTAAAATAATAGAATTAAATTTTTTTAACATAAAATGAATAAAATTTTATTTCAGCCAGCTGAAATTTCACATGAGTTTGAAAGATTATTATGTAGTTATTCTTCACAAAATGAAAATCAATGGCATTCTCAGAAAGAAAAAAAGATGGAGGAGAAAACAAAAATGAACACTCCTAGAAAACCTCTTGTGGATAACAGAAACATTTTTCGTTCAACACTGATAATGTTTGATCTATCATTGAGTGATTCAAAATCTTACAAGTAAATATTTATTATTTTTTCATCACAAAGAAAATACTAGGCAAATTTTGATGCTTGATGCTTTGTCAAGTTGTCAGTCTAAAATCTTATTTTTACAATTGAGCATAAGCATAAAATGAATTAGCTTGAAAATTATTGGAATGATAACCTTATTAGAATAGTTTGAGAAATTAATTTATTTCTATAAGCAATACCATAAATTTATAAAATACAAAATTGCAACTGTTCAACATGTGAAAATTGATATTCTTCATTAATTAATATAAATAAAAATGATTTTGATAAGGTTAATTAAAATAAAAGTTATTTTACAAAAATAAATATTCTTAAATAGCCCTCAATATTTTTTAGTTATACATTAAATTAATAAATTATTTAACATTAAAATTTTACTACCTTATTATTATGTTTTATCACAGTATGAATAAACAGAACAGAATCAAAAGCATTGGTAAACTATATATACATATCCTGTTTATACTTTGTATTGATAAGATGTTGTTCAATGATGTCGTATCAATTGAGTATCTGCAATCATATCATTCAGGCAATAATGACAATTTGAAAACCTATTGTAAATAACAGTTATATCAACAGTCAAGCATCAAAATATGCTTATTAATTCTTGAATTATTTATAAGATTTTAAAATATTTCTAATCTTTTTATATATAAAATATTTTTTGGCATAATTATTTTTGATAATTATTACTTATTAATGAAAATGTATCATATGTAAATAGATTATATATGGTAATTATAATTACCTATTCAGAGTCTATTTATTGTATAAGAAGCTTTTCATATTATATAGGAAAAATATTCATATATTTTTTATATTCATTCCATATGAAGAATATTCTGACTACAATGGCCAAACTGTAGCTTTTGTGCACTTACACAATTTCTTTTTATAAATTTAAAACATACTACTAACACATATGTAATATTTTTGTATGCTAGCTGAATATTACTGTATATACAGGATTCCTATGCACTTTGAAAGTCTGGATAAATCAGGGGTTTTCATTATTGTTCAGAAAAAGTCATGAAAAGTCAAGGAATTTGCCTCCTTGGCTATCTTGTTGAATTTTTTTTTTTTTTTTGCTGATAATATGCTTGACTAAGCATAGCCGTCTGCAGGTAGAAAGAGGTAGTGTCCTGCAACACAAACTTTATGAAAAGGAGTGCAGAATATTTTCAGGACCCAAAATCTTTCCCAAACATATACAGAATTTCTCCAAAAATTTAGAAAGTACAAAAAATGATAAATAATTTTAATTTAAATGGTATTTATCATTTTAATAATTTTGATTGTGCAATAAAACAGTTTTTGAGTTTTTTTCCAGTTTATTAATATTTTATAAAGTTCAGGAAATTTATTTAGGGATAAATTTAATAAATATTAATATATATTTTTGTACATGGGTTATACGGGATTTGTTATTGAATAATAAATAATGGCTTTTTTTTTTTCTTTTTCAAAGCCATGTAGATTTATGGTTGTTGATTAATAACAGAATAAACTACTATAATAAAATGCTTTAGTTTTAATAATTCAGCAATTATAAAAAATATATAACTGTTAATTAGAAAAAATAATTAATTAAAAAGTTGGAGAAGCAATAGCATATGTGCTTAGTAAGTCAAATGCTGTTTTATTTTGTCAATGTGCCATACTGTAAAAGGTGTGATGTCAGGAAATTTGTGCAAAGTTGTAATTGGAAATAATTGCAACTAGAGATCAAATTAGATGCAGAAATCATTATAAAACTTAAATTCCAATATTAAATGATATATCATATTCAGGTTGGAGTTTAGTGTGTAGTACTAGTGTCAGACATTCATGTTGATAACAGTGCACTCTAAAATACATTAGTGCTCCAATCTAAACATGACTATTATAGCAGTGTTTCCCAAACTTTCCGAGATAGTGGTGGACTCACAATTTTTGAGTACATAGTGACAAACCAGTGTTGCATCAAAGATGCCCTTATATGTTTGATACATTGAAGATTGCAGTATTTTATATGAAAAGTATACAATTATACCCTAGAGTATCTGTCAATGACAGATACTGTAAGGTAGCCGAGTTGAGAATCCCTATATTAGGAATATTTAAAATTAAAAACATGAAAAAAGTTATAGTTTTTAACTTGTTAATTATTGGTCTGTAAATACATTTAAAACAAAAAATGAAATACATTCCATTAAATGTGTGAAAAACAAATAACATATTGACAAGAAATAGATTTATCTACTAATTACTTCTAATAATAATGATTTATTGTAACCTTTTTTGCATTGATCTTAATCTGTACTTTATCTTCTTTTTAATATTTTAAATACATCTTAATACTAATTAAACAAGCTCAAAAATGTCTTAAAGTGATATGTTTTTTGAAAATTGTTCTTTTCTTTAAGATCTAGAGCAATTAAAGTTTCTTACAATTAAAAAATTATCCAAATTATTGCATCAATTCCAACCATAAAGAATTTCTTTGAATTCCACACCAAGAACATTTCAGATAAAAATAATTGCTTTCTAAACAATTCAATTTATTTAGTTGGATAATTTTATTACATATAACATACTTATTTGATTAAAATTTACCAAAATTTTGCTCAGTGATAAGTTTTCAGACTTGAATAATTAAATATGCAGTCTGAATATACAGTTTTATATTCACTTTTTCTCCATTATTGAATTTTTTATTTTGTAATAAATAATGTGGTTAAATATTGTTTAGAAATTAACTTTTCAATAAATCATATTAGTAATTGTAAAATTAAATAAATTAATTTATACTCTTCAGATGTGTTCACTATTTGCCAAATACTAAGCAAAATTCATTATTTGCCATTTCCCAATTCTTGTCAGTAAATTCTGCCAAATCAAAGGAAATGATTATTTTAAATTTCTTTCTTTTTCATGCTTGCATTTTTCTGCTTTTATGAAGTGATATTGTCCACAATCTTTTGGGCTTTTTTCATGAACAGATACAAACTATTTGTAACTATAAAAGCAGAGAGAGAAATTATTATTTGAAAATTGTCCATTTTCTAGATCCTGGATGAACATTTGTCATATCAACAACAAACCAATGCTTGGCAAATAATAATTTGTGTGTTTTTCATGTGGCAAGTATGAATGTGCCCTTAAATTTCAATTATTTTTGTTTTACTGTTGTATTCACATCATTTTTGAAAGAAATTTATTCATTATAAAGTTATTAATTGCAATTATAATTATTTATAATGTGTGTCAAATTTATTGAATGTTTCTGATTATTTATTTGCTTATTTTAAATCTTGAAATATTAATTTGTAATAATTAATTATAACAAATATAATCACTTATTTTCTAAATAATGTTTAGGGTTCATACTGATCTGGTATTCTAGTATTTTCATTTCATGGGAATAAATGTTTTTTAAAATAAGTATTCACTAATTTAATAATTTGCTAAGGTTTTAAAATTTATACAAGCCATTCCACATCAAATCAACAAGGCCAAAACCTAATGGCAAGCTCAGGCAATACTGAGAACTAATATTTGATTGGTATAGACAGCACTTTTAATATCCATTTACACAAAAAAAATTATAAGCAGATATATAATAAACATAGGATCAAAAGAATTTGTGTTTGGAACCATTATTCTTTAGAGAATCTTTAAAGTTTTAAAAGAAAATAATAAAATAGTCAAATTTAGGATCTAAATTTTTGACACCTAAAAATTTCTATAAAATTGTAATTGTGATGGATTTTCTTTTTTTGTAATTCCATTATGATTCTCTTTTAAATAAGTTCAATGATCATTTCACAATAATTGGAAGCCAAGATATAACTGATTTTGTCTTATGATGTGCCAAATACAGAAAAATTTTAGTGGGACATTTTTTCCCAGAAAACTTTTTTGAAAAAATTTTTTTGTATACTTTTTCATATCAAAATACAGTATACTTTCCTAAATATGACCAAAAATAAAGTGTTTTTGGCTTTGTTGACTGAAATTCATAAAAAGTGTAAGAGAAAAAAGTGTGCATTTTCCACAAATTAAGTTAATATTCTAAATTTATAAATTTTATATAGACAATAATTACTGTAAAAATGACATTTAATATGAATTTTAAGAAATTATTTTTCAATCATAAATATTAAGTATAGGTCACATGGCATATTGTGGATGCCACAGTATATATTCTGTGAAGTTTTTAATAAAGAATTTGGAGTTTGAACTTCATTTCTTAAAGTACTTTTCTAGACACTTTTCTCTTTTTGATTGACATTTATTAAATGTAATTTTTGATTTGGCAATCTGATTGGTTTTTTCCCCAGTAACAGGAATGGGATCTTTTTGTTTTTTTGTATGTTATTTATAATTTTTAAAAATATATTTAATTAAATATATGGTGAAATTTCGTTAACCTGGCATCATTGGGATCGGTGTGGTGCCAGTTTATCAAAAATGCCATCTTATCAGATGATAGGAAAAAAAACAGAAAAACTTCTATTCTCTGGATACAATTTTATATATCTTGTGTACTGTACTTACTTATCTATGTAAAATTGTACAAATCTGTCTTTTACTATTGTTTAATATGCCATTTCAATTTTTCCAGCCTATTCGTACCCTTGGTTGGCTTCAAACAAGGACACTGTTCTAAATTTAAATATTTTTGCTTCTTTGTCTATGATTAATGTATCTTGATGTGGCCTTAATTTTCAAACTTATCACACCTTGTAGGTCACAAGTGAAGAAAACTGAGTCAGAGATCAGATCCAAAAAATATATGCTTTTATTGATGTTGGAAATGGATTTCGGACTTATAGTCCCCATTAGTCCAACCATCTTACCTAGATGACTAAAATTATATAATACAAATTTAATTGTACTGTAGCTGTTTCTGTGAAAGTTATTGATTCCAAGTATCCTAAATATTTCTCTTCTCATATCAAACCCATGCACTAATGTCTTTGGAAAAGTCACACACGAACTAACTGGTTTTACCTAGCATCATCATACTGTCTTGGTCTTCCTCTGCTTCAACAATGATGATTGAAAAGAACAATGCACCAATAACCTCTAATGATGTGCTAGACATACAAGTTTATCAGGTTTGCTGGGTTAACAGAATTCCACTGTAATTTCTTAATTTTTAAAATAAGATATTGATGACTATTTTTTATCTGTTTAGGAGGCTTTCGATTCAGTTTTTATAAAGCACGCATTATTATGGTGAAAGTAATTTTGGTAATTTCAGGAGAAATAGTCATTCTTGAATCACATGGCAATACACAGTGAATCTATACAGAATCTGATTGTGCTAGTGATAATGTGAAGACAACATGAATGTAATCGAAGAAAATTCTGAATAATACAAAAGTTATCAAACAGTATGAAATTATATATGACTTCAACTTGTATTGTTTATTTTCTCAATTACAGCAATTTTATGAAATATTGTTTGAAAGAATAAATTTGCACTATTTATTCAATGCTGGTGTCGCTTTTGACAGCAATATTAGTCAGCTACATATATAACATAGCTAATATTTTTGTTTATAAATTTACAATCAACTATAGCAGAAAGATATGATAAACAAATAGTGATAATGCCTTTGGTTGAATGTGAAGTAAAGGCAAATCAGATGATGATAAATATAAAAATTACATAAAAATAATTTTAAATTGTAAAAATCAAAAGAAATTGTTGTTTCCATGAAATCTAAACTATATTATAATTTTGGCCTTTATTTTTCTATTGTATTGATATTTAGTCTGAAAAAAACATACAGCAGCATGCCCTCTGCAAGGTTAAACAAAAATTGATCTACTTCAGTTTGACAAGAAAATGTGACACATTTCCATCTCAGAACATTTTAGGATGTGTTTTCTAAAGCTTGATTTCAATTACTTCCAATTGTGTAATGAATAAAAGGAAAAGATTCTGTAGAATTACATTTTGATAAATAATAAGCAATAGAAAAAAAAATTTGCCAAAAGAAGTTTGTTTTACACAGTATTGAATGTTGTGTAAATTTATGACTCTTTTTTTAATGTCAAATTTATACTGAAATAACAAGTCAACTGTAAATAATAATGTTTGTTATTAATGTATTCAAAGTTAAAGTAAGTGGAAACAAACAAACAATTGAAAATAAATGTTTTGCATCTTTTGCAAGTTGTCAAATTTGGCTATTGAATAAAGCTTGTAATGATTTTTGTTGATCCAAAAAATGAATTCAAATCTTACATTGTAGATTATTATATCAATGGTATTTGTTATTTGATGTAATTAGCATGTTCTCTCTGGTCACACAGTTTTTTCCCTGTTTAAAATATTATCCTGAAACTACAATTGAGAGAGTTGAGTAATGCCTTTGAAACAAGTCGTGCAGCACACAATTCTCGACTAGCAAAATTGTTATTATTTACTTTTAAAATTTCTGCTTTATTTGTGAAAACTTAGTGGAAACTGGAAAAAAAAATTAAAATTGTAAAGGATTTAGGATTAGTTGTTATACTCATGTTAATCAGAATACAGGAGTTCTCTAGTTTGGAGTGACCGCATTTTTTGTTACCAATGTTATCATTTGCAATTTTTCTAAACTTTTACAATTAGTAAATTTAGCAATGGAAATTAATAATGACGTTTAGATTCTTGCATTAACCTATTGCATTTAGTGCTTCAAAAATGTATTAGATTAAAAAAAACCACATTTGAAACACCAGCTTCTAAGCAGTAATGAGCAGATAGACAAGTGTAATGTATTCTATTAAGTCCATTGAAGGATCAAACACTAACAATACAGTTGTATGCAGAATAATGACTACTTTCTACATTAGTTTAGTAGTTTTTGACTTAAAATCTCTGAAATCTTACCTGTTCAGGTCATAAGTACGGGAGGAATGTATTTATTAGTTATTACTGTTAATGCTTTATAATAGCTCTTGTAATAAGTTAGATTTAAAAAGAAAAGTATATGCTAGAACTTTCATTATTCATAACTCACTGCAATCAAAATTTTAGCTTCTTGAGTTAATTTTGTATCATGTTTGCATATAAACAATGCACAAAAGTTCATGTAAGTGATGATAAAAAAATCTGTATAATTATAAATTCACAAAATTAGTAGTAGTACTAAAACAATAGCAACAAATATTTTTAAATTGTCATCAACAAAAAGAATTTCTTAAATGTGTTTTATTTTGAAACTCCAATCTTTCTCTGTATGTAAAAGTATATGCTGCCACAACATTGTTATGCTTTTTTACATCTTGGGAACATGAAATTTCACAATAAAAAAGTTAACAAAATTTTCCATTCAAAACCAACTTTATAAGATTTGCATAAAATATGGCTGTGCAGTTGTGTGAAAAGATTTTTACTAATGTTGCAATGAATAGTATATTTGGCCAGGAGCATAGCCGAATATTCGGCTTGATGAACACACATGTGAAAATTGGTGCACAAACCGCATTATGGCGAGGACCCTGCTCTCTATTGGCCCGCTGTCACTACACTTCACCAGTCACATTAATTCTTGACAGTTGTAGCGGACAGACAAGAGCGTCGTGGCAGTATGTGATAAATGATGATATCAATGAAATGACCTACACGTGTAAATAATGGAAAAAGAACAGAGAAGGACTGCAAAAGTGAAAATAAATATGAAATTGAGTGGATAACATAATTGAACAAGTGGAGACAGCTTATTGGCGTGAAATTCGTGGCCGTCAATGCCAAACAATTGTTGTCATAGACTTCGGAAAGCTAAATGCTTGTAATGAAAGTCACTTAGTGTGCACAGGCACAGTCTGGGGCTGCTGTCTTGAAACTGTGAAATCATAACAGTGACTTATTCCGAAGTCCTATGTGTCTCTTTTCTCTGATATCACCAGGTTATGAGTCACATAATTGTAAAATGGAAAATCTACAATGGAAAAGTGGCAAATTGAAAGTATCGTGAGCACGTATTATGATGTATGCACAGGCATACGTGAACTAGAGCAATACAGGAAAGAGAAAGACGAGCACTTAAAAAGAAGGATAGGCAGGGTCAGACCCTCAGATGTGCGACAATTCTCGAACGAATAAGTGTGTATGTGCGCTCTTTGTAATTATAAATTGTGAATACATGTGACTATTATTATTTTGTGCATGTTATAAGTTATAAATAAATATAAACAAACAACACTAACCCAATAATCATTTTGGTATTTAGACTTAATGTTAATTTACTGTGTTTTTGTTATTTCTTACTCTTGTTTTTAGGTATTTGGTATTCGGCCAAATACTGAATAGTAACTGAATATTCGTTACATCACTAATTTTTACTTTATTCTAAAGATTTTGTGAACTTTTGTGTTTAAAATGAAGAGAGTCTTTTTCATCTTGAAGTTTAAATTTAGCATAAAATTCCTCTAATGACAACCCAAGTTAGTTGTGTACACACTTTCTACTATAAAGAAAAAATGTTTGAAAATCACATTATAATCAATATGCAATGTAACCAATTATTCAAAACACAGAGATACTAACAGAAAGCAATATTTGTTTCTAACATTCTTGAACAATAAAACAAAAAAGTGTAAAAATTTGTTTTTGTACCTCAACCATACAAAATCAATTATTAATTGATTTAAAGGTTAGCAAATGGTATTTATATATTAAAAATACATGTGATCATGGTATCACTAGAGGATGTTTTAAACATTTTCTTTTTAGAGTCGGAAATTAACTTTTATTTCAGGCTGAGTAAAAAAAATTTTTTGGCTACTGGTGATTATTCACGTGAATGGTGGACTTGAAGATAGAATGTCAAAAAAACAAAACATTAGAACTAATATTGTGTGTTAAGATAATTGAGATGTTTCATGGCTAAAATTTTTCTTTACAATATATTTTCTATTATTTTCTTTTTTAGATCTGTGAAAGCTGTGGCCACTCCTGTTCGTAGATCGGCACGTCTCAGTCGGACTCCCACTTCCAATAAAAAAAAAGGCACCTGTGTGAAAAATCTTAGAGAGTTGCCATATAATATTCGGAACAACCTGCTAGTGAGAGAGAATAGTGCATTGGAAGAAATCCACCCTGCAACTTAATCTCCCCCCCCAAGAATTTGCTAGAATCAATTTAGGAGTGAATGTATGTATATGTTACTGTGAAAGACCAATATTTGTGAATGTCGACATTCCCCCATTTCGGTCATTCACAGTAACATATATATATAATACTAAAATAAAAAAAATTGATATATTCATGAAATTTTTAACCAAATATTTAATGGGTTGTATAGATATTTTTGTATATATAAATTCAATTAAAATTTGCTAATAAACTGCATTTATGCACCACATCATCTTGCTTTTGATGATGATTTAAATTATTGCTTCATAAAATTGCAGTAACAGTTTCAACTTTATTATTCTAAAATTTCACATACAAGTATAAATTGTTTTGTGAATTCTTGTAAAATTTTAGCTGCTTCTGCAGGAATTTCTCTTAACTTTTTTTACACAAAAAAAAAAGACATTTAAAAGGAGGTAGACAATTAGTTTAAAAGATTTGTTATAACATTTTTGCATATATTAGTAATTTTATGTTGCAGAACTATTTGATAACTATTTGAGATAAATTACACAGTTTTAATTTAAATATTCTCAATAAAGATACATTTTTACAATTTTAATTTTCACAACTAATATTACAACAAAAGATACTAAAAATTAGATAAATGTTGTTGAGATATAATGTACTGTTAAGACACGCTATCCCATATTAAGTCTGAGAAAACAATTTACTTACAAACTTTTATGTTAATTCTTCAGAAAGCTATTGATATATCAAAAGGTTGTTTTTCTTTGTATATATATTTTTATTAAATTAATTATTGCGACAATTAAAAAATTTATAAACACATTCAAAAATGTCTCATAATAAATTAGGTATTACTGAACTATATAATAATTTCACTTGAGACAAATGCACATAGAATAATTGGAAGAAACTTTGGCAGTGTCTTTTCGGTACTATATAGAACATTTTTTTTAATGTAATGAAGATAAAATTGCATAAAAGTTTGTTTAAACACAATATAAATAGTGAAGATTAAAGAAATAAAGATTTCTGACTGTTAACTAAATATTTAAATTAGATTCGTCAAAACTTAAGATTTTTTTTATCTGTAAAAACATTTAGGGTATGACGTGTCTTCTTTGGGCAGGCGGTTGATAAAGTTGTCTAGATGGTCTACTGTTTCCTTCTCTTTTTTGTCCTTGAGGCGAATTGTCTATAGTATCCATATGAACGTAAGGCTTATTCCCACCTCGTCTGAATTCTAGAGTTCCAACAAAATTCTGTTGTAACATACCATTTGGAAAGGAGTTTGATGATTTGCCATTTGAATGATTGTAATTCTGTAAGAAACAAGTATTAAATAAAAAATAAAACAAATTAAATTGTTTTGTATGTACAGTACCAGACCAGAAATCCAGCTAGTTTTGAATTTGATGGGCTATAGTTTGCCATGCTACCACTTTGGTTTTTGTTTCCATTACATGTGCATTGCATGATACCAGTTCCCATGTGAATGCTGACATGTGTGTTAAAAACAGTTTAAACAGTGGAAAGTAAAAATACTACTAATATATTTTAGGCTAAATATATGCTTAAGTCCAGAAATCAAGACCTGGTCCCATACTGTACATTATATATATATAAACACACACTAATTGCATACTCATTCATCACATTCAAACTTTGAAACACTTCTACAATCATAAAAAAAGGTGGAAATATTTTTATAAAGAAAAAAGATTTGTAATTAAACATAATTATGCAAAAAAAAATGATAGTTTAGATTTATTAAGTTGTTGTCCAACTGATTTTGTTAATGATTTTTTAACAAATTATAATCATGTTATAAGTACATTATTATTAATTTAAAGAATGATTATCCTGAAGAACCATTGTAAAAATTTTGAAATAGAAAAAAGTAAATAAGTATATAATTTACATACTCTTGTCGAAATAATCCTGTATAATTTTTAATCTTATTTTAAGCACACTTAAATTCAAACTCTTCTAATTGTTTTCACTATTGCATGTCAAAAGGTTTTTAATTAAATCATTGGTTTACTGCAATACTTTTGTAACTGCCAAAATGATCAAAAATGTACTTCTGATACTCTGGGAATGTGGAAGGTGATGTCTATCTGGGAAAATAAGATCAGTTAGTACAAGAATCTTTGAATTTGTAGTTTCAATGATAGGATTTCAACATTCCCAGGCCATTTGAGCAATATAGCAAATATGATCTTAAGTCATATTACAGTATGGTGGCAATAAAACTGCATTTTTAGCACGTGCCTAAACATCATAACTGCAACTACAATCCTATTTAACCAAATTGTGTGCACTTGTGGTTGAATTTGGGTTAGTAATGCAAGTTTATTATGATCAGTTTGGTCGACAAAAAACTTTTCTTCTTACTTATAAATATTTATAAAAAAAATTTCACTATGTTTACAATTATATATTTAATAAAATCAGTAAAAATCAATGTTCTCTTGTTATAAGAATAAGTCAATCATATTAACACTACAATTGTAATTTAATTTGGACAGTATTCATAGTTGCTGGAAGATTACCTTCATTATATTTTTCAACATACAACCTATAAAGTCCTGCCTCAGCCTGGAAGTATGAAAAAGTTTTTAATAAGCTAGGCTTTTGTGATGCTTAAGATGCTTGTGAAGCCTGAGATGTATGCTGATGCTGATAATGGGAAAAAGGAGAAATTACGGAGAAACACAAGCAAAACAAAGAAAGGGCCTGTGCCAAAAAAGAAAAATGATAAAAAATCTAGCAACAAGAGTTGCACAACTTTCCTGGCTGTTATGAGTTTTTTAAATTAATTAAAAAAAGTTTTATACAGTATTACTAAGTAAAAAATAAAATTGTGTATGGCATCATTTGTTATCAGATTTTGTTATAAAAACTTTAAGCTTTTTGCCATTTTATAGTAAATAAAAATATAAATTTTGAGAGTAGGGGCGAGTTTGATGAAAAAGTGTAAGTGTTAACAAAAAAATCTTCATTACATCCTACCCCTCTAGAGATACGTGACCTCCCTCTTTCTCCTCACCCTCTTGACCTTTTACCACCAAAATTTAATAGCATCAATGATCATCATATGCAAGCCACCATGCCAAATTTTGTTTATTAATCTTTACCCTATTGTGAGATATTAAGCAAAATAGACACCAACACACACACACACAAATGGAATTTTTTTGCTGGTTTTTTTTTTTTTTGACTATTTTGGATTCAGGAAGTCTCAAAACATGGAGATTTGCAAAAAACTCTTGAATGCCAAATTTGACATGATTCACCCTTGTTATGTATACATAACAGCTGGGAAAGTAAAAAAACAGAAGACAGCATGCTGCACTTTCTGCACATGTTTTGATCTTCAACAGATACTGAATACACCATATTGTGATGTATTTTTAGTTTGTTTAGTTTTCTCTTGTAATAATCTCATTACTTATAATATTCCGTTTTGCATTTTCCAACATTATATATGGCATGAAGGAATTTGAAGACAAGGCAGTATTGAAGTGGCCTGCTGTGTATAAAGGATCCCTGTCAAGACCATATAAACTTTGCAGAATGAGTATCTTCACTTAGAGTGTATGAAATATGACCCAAATACTATACCTCTATGACCCATTCTTTTACATTTTTCTCAAAAACTAAGTGTATGACGTATCCAGTGCATGGAAAATAAGCTTTGTTGGAAAAGTGAACATTGGTATTTGCATATGGCATTATGCTTACATAGGAGGATGCTCAAAATGACCACCATGCATATCAAGACATCTATATATATATATAACCCATTCATTGGGTGTCTATCCGCGTAACTGTTTGATAACGGACACTAGAGGCCCTATCGTGTGTCATATTTCAAACATTCAAATTAATGATTTTAATTATTATTTAAATTAACGATATAAATTATTATTATTATTTGGTCAATATAACAATATAAATAATTCAGTATGTTTGTAATAGGAATTTATTATTTCAGGGGCTTATATCTCGCAAAGGGTCGCGAGTAGGGCTATGGTTCCTTTGATTTTATTGTTCGCACAGGGGCTACAGTTTGGGGGGTCGCCACCTCTTCATTCAGAGAGTAAATCTTACCATTGGGACTTTAATAGAGCTGTACAGCATATTGATAGGAACAAAAAAGTCAAAGGAACCGTGCCTCATGGAAATTTGTAAAGAACGCCCACTAGGGGGCGTCCCAGACTACTAGTGCTGTAGAATGGCTTACTGCACATGATCTTAGTTGCTCATCTTCATGCTGCATTCACTTTTGTGGACAACACGATGCTGATCATGTGCAGTCAGCCATTCTATGGCATGCCTTGATATGCATGGTGGTCCTATGTCAGCCATCCTATGGCATGCCTTGATATGCATGGTGGTCCTATCCTATGCAAATACCAATGTTCACTTTTCCAACAAAGCTTATTTTCCATGCACTAGATGTGACATCATACACTTTCTTTTACATTTTTTGCGAAAACTATGGGTTGAAGAGGTATGGTTTTTGGGTCATTTTTTATATACTCCGAGAAAGAATGTTTTTTGAATTGTCAAGGTCAGCCATTCAATAAAATACACATTGTTTTGTTTACCCAATTACTATATAGATGATGATTAACAATTAGTAAAATAAGTTTTTGCTTAATAACTTTTGACTTAAATTAAACTGTGATACAGAACAAACTTCTATACTATAAAAAAATGCAAAATGTTGGAACACAATGCTGTTGAGTTTAAACAAATGTCTGTGATATCCATGGACATCGGTTTGAAAGTCAATCATCAACTTTAAACCAAACCTAAATAATTCTACAAGTATTATTACAGTATGTAATGAGGAGGAAATTATTGGAACTTATTAGATTTTAAGCTGTTATATATACCTACTTAAACTTGTACTAATTAAAGTGTGGAGTGGTTTACAGAAAACAAATTCAAAAGAACTAAAGGCAAGGCTTTAGTGGTTTTGGGAAAAATTACATGCATTAGACTAGACATTCACCATTGCAAAGTACTTTTTGTATTTTCTAAAGACACTCTTAGCTTTTTCTTTGTCTAAAGATACTGTTTGGTAAGTTTGTAATTGCAGATTAAAACTGGCAGATAATCCACATCCTCCCTCAAGCACAAACTATGGGTTATCTGCTTAAAATTAAATATATGACAAAAATTTACTGTAAATTTTTAAACTAACCCAATCGGATTCTAATGGTTTTACATCTTGAATTAACACTTCTTCATAGTTTCCGTAATCCACAAAATGAACGACACAAGTTGCTCCATTAGAAGATACAGCATGGACAATAGCCGGATATAACTGAAAAAATATTTCAAATTTATATATTTCACTATGATATATAACAACTAAATAAGCATTTTTGAAATGAAAAATTTTATTAACATTAAAATATTAACACAACAAAAAACTGTTACTTTGCTCCATCAAGTTTTGCAGAGTTCACATGTATTGGAAAAATTCAGATACGTAAGTTTTTTAAATAAATAAATACATTTCAAACATTATAATTGATTTCATAAAATAGCTTTAAAAGAAATTGCAAGCCAATGTTAATGCATACAATTTAATTAAATACAATTAAATTAACACAAAACTACATTGGCCTCACTTACTGATATAAAATGTTTGAGTATAAGCAGACTTCTCTTTCCACTACTACTAGAATATTTACTTTTTTGGTAAGAACTTCTAATATATTACCAGAAAAATTCTGTGCTCTATGACGCATCAAAGTTTAAAGCTAGACACCTGAGGTATGATATAAGATTGATGTAATAAGTTTTGTTTAATTCATATGACAGAGGATCACAACTAATTTTATGAAAATAGTCCTCAGTTGATACACATACAATGCTATTCAAAACAAATGCAGATCATTTTCTTTAAGATTATTTAGAAGCTATTGCTTTTATCTCTTCTACTGACAAAAAATAAGTTTTCTTGAACATGAACTTAATCTTTCAAAAGAGAAAGACGTCACAATTAGTAAAATCTAGTGAATAAAGAGAGAGGACAGAATTAGATACACACTTTGAGATATTTTCTTAAATCAATTCAATCTTTAATGAAATAAAATTTACAGAAGAGTTTTAAAAAATGGGACCATCAACTTCCTAGTCCTAAAAATAACTCTAACACTAGACTACCTTACATTTAAAGTCTACCACAAACTATTGCACCATGACAAATACCTGCTAATCTGCTAACGCATTTCAACATGGGGCTTACAAAAATACTGCTATTCTTCCAGTCATAGGTAAGAACTATACTCATTATAGCAATAATTCTGCCACAATTTGTGAAATATCATTGAACAATTGTTTTGGATGAAGATTTTTCTTTAAGTTCAATTATCTCTATAACAAGGTAAGGAATAACTTCTTGGATCTCTTCATACCACTACAAAGACTCAAGTTCTCTCCTTACTCTTTACCTTTGTTTTCAACTGTTCAGGTAAAATAAAAAGGCACACCAAAAAGCTTGGCTTAAATATTACATCATTATGTACTCTTCTTTGCAATGACAGAGACCCCATAACATCTCTTCAAAAACTCAGTGTATATAAAATCGTTTTAAGATCTGATACCAATGCTACCTTTTACATTGCACTACAGCTCACATATTACAGGAAAGAATTAGCATACACAAAACAACAAGATTATAACAGAATTAGCAAAGCTAATAGTAATGGAGAGAAAAGGATCATTTTGATACAATTGACCACACAATATATGTTTCAGGTACGAGCAAAAATGGATGTAATGAAATGACCTTTGTTATTGACAAATGCCTAACAAAATTTGTGGAAGGCTATGAACCTAACAATGACCAAATCAAAATTATATCATCTTCCAGGCCTGGAAGATACTATAATTTCAATAATTTCAGACTTGCAATGCAACCTCTAAATTATTTAAAATTTGGAAAGTTTCTGCAATCACTATTTTTAATAAACTAAAACTCATAAGGACGCTTATTTTTCTAATTTCCACTTATGCCTCGGAAAGCTGGACCATAAATGCCACTTCTTGGAAGAAATTTGATTCCTTTGAAATATGGACATATAATAGAATGCTGAAATCTCTTGGAGAGAGCACTGAACAAATTGCTCCATCCTAAATCAACTGAAAATCACAACACGCCTTACCAACTAAAATATACCAATCCTACCTTCACTTCTTGGGACATATTTCCAGACTCAAAAATGGATTTGAAAAACAAATTCTAGAAAGGAAGATCAATGGCAAATGCCCTAGAGGCAGATGTCAGATTAGGTGGACAGACCAAGTAATGATGATTACAGGACATACAATGTGTGAAGCCATCCAAATGGCACAACACCATGAGCAGTGGATAGATACAATTAAAGCCATCAATTCGTAATATCACCGTGCCCTCTGAAGGGCATAGGACTAAGAATAGTAATGGAAGGCTATTCCCCAGACAGAGATAATATCCAACTTATCACTTCATATCACAAAAAAAGCACTAATTTTTATTAAAGAAATCCTTGAAATTCTTATACAACAGTCTTGCAACATTTCGAAGCATTTTTTCACTTTCTCCTCAACAATTTCTTAATTTTATTTAATGTAAGTTTTATGAATACTTTTAACAAAATATATTTATATTTTTTAGTAAAACACTTATTTAAAATATGTTCCATTTCAAATCCTTGATCCATTGCCTGAAAAAGCTTGATTAATCAAGCAAAAATGCTTGCTTAATATAAAAACAAGTTATAAAAACTTTATATCATTAAAGGTTTTTAAATATTTTCAGTAACATCAGTGAGTGTTTATTTTACAATTTGTTCATACTCAAATTTAGATAATAAATTAAATTTTTACTTAAATAAATATACTTAAAACCACATTCATGCAATTAAAACAGAAAATTTTTACATTAAATAGACAGTAAATGTGACAAGCTCACATCATTATCACCATAAAAGTAAACTTTCATAAATATTTCCAAGAAATTATGGAACTAAAATGTATGCACAGAAAAAAGAAATTAATTACAATTACAGTAGAGCGCCGATTTTCCGAAAGTCAATCATCCGAAAGAATTCCAGTCGGCAAATTTAAATTTTCGCCAGTGCTGTGGCGCTTCAATCTTTGACTATGTCTTGGGCTACTCAAATATTTTACGTTTTTGATACTAAATTAACATCTGAAGTATAATTTTTTATTATTTTTATATTTTTCAATATATTTATTTTGTTTGTACAAAATAAAAAAATAATTTTTAACGATACAATAGTCTTTGTTAGGCTTAACATCGACGAAAATTCAACGC